TTTTCTTTTAGGGTTGCATTGATATAGACTATTTTGATATCTCATTATCTTATTTCCTAGTCTAGGGAAGTCCCTATAGCTAGGAGTAGTTACTAGGTAACAGGGTTAACTGTGTTAGTAAAGGTTTCGAAGAAATTAACGCCATATTTCTGTTAAAAACCTTAGGCGACCTATCTAGCCTTATATATAGGGTTCCTATTAGCGTCTTTAACCTTTAGAACCTATTTACCTTCTAGGACTTTCATATAGTTCTCTTTAGGCACTAAGGTCTAGGTATTTTTAGACTTTAGGTTGTTAATCTCCCTTAGATAGGTGTTTTTCCATTTTTCTAAGTCTTTAAACTTTATGGCCTAGTTATAGGTAAGGTCAGTTAATAGTAAGGCTATATTATCCATAGATTTATCCTTATTAGCTTCCTTTAGTTACTTTATAAAGGATTTATACTAGGCATCAGTGTTTTCAATATTTTTGACGTTATTTAGGTCATTATTTTGGTCTGTATCTATAGGTTTAATATCTATAGGTGTTACGTTAATTAATGGCGTGTTTTAGGCGTCTTTTAAGGCCTTTTTGAAGTCCTTAGCCCTTTTAGAGGCCCTAGAAGGTAAATCCTTAAGGAAATATCCTTCTATTATATCGAAGTCCTTAGCCATGATGGTTTTCCTACCATTTAGCTCTAATAACTTAACCTAATTAGGCGTCTCGAAATAGCCTATAAGGTAATAGGGTTTTGCTCTATTATCAAGTTTTTTAAGGAATTCTTTTAGTTCCTTTTTATAGTAAATAGAGCCCTATACCTTAATGTTTAATATATTAGGTTATTTTCCTATTTTAACCTTATATAGAGTTATATAACTCTTTAACGCGCTATGTGAGGTCCTATTATATATATAGGTAGCCGCTAATAGCGCTTCTCTCTATAGAGATTTAGATAAGCCTAATTCTATTAGTATAGACCTTATCTTTTCTATAATGGTCCTATTAAATTGTTCACTTAGGCCATTTTAACTTAGGCTATAGAGGGTAATAAAGGTTATATTAATGCCCTCATTTTTAGCGTATTCTTTGAATTTTATAGACTTATATTTATTATTAGATTGAAGTCTTTTTATAGGCTTTTAAGATTGTTATTCCTTATATACCTTATAGGCTAGAAATTCATCGAATACTTAATCCCTTATTATAAGTAAATAAATAGTGATATACCTCAATTTATTGTCTATAAAAGAGACAAAATATCTCTTTTTAGAGATCGTTTTAGGCGTTATAGGTTTATATATATCGCTATGAACCTTTTCGAGCGTTTCTAATGCCCTAGTCATAGGTTCTCAGCTTATTTTTAATGTTGCCTTAGCTTTTAGGCATGTTTCGCACCTTATAGGGTTATTAGGCTTCTTTTTCTCCTTTTTATACCCTTTAGTGACATTAACTAGTTATTTTATAACTGTTTTATCTATATAACCTATTCTGAGGTGCTATATATTGTTTTCTGTCAAACTTATATAGGCGTACTCGTTTTTGGTGTTCACTATAGCGCTTATTACTATAGTTATAAGGTTTTTAACGTAAATCCCCTATACCATTTTCCTTTCACTCTTAAATAGGCCTATTTCCTTAGGGCTTATTTTAATGTTAAATCCCTTTTTAGATAAAAGGCCTAGGCTTAATAGGTTTAAGTCTAGTTCTAGTATATATAGATAGTTAGTTATAGTGCCCTTTTTTCCTGTGAATAGAAAGTGAACCTTTATATTCCCTATCTAATTAATAGTTATATTCGACATTTTTTCCTAGTTAAGGGTAGTGTTATATAGCCTTAGATCACTAAAAAGTGCCTTATTAGCGTATATATATCTTAAGGCGTCACTATCTAATATCTAGATATTTTAATCATAGATATCATTAATTAATAGGGTAAATTTACCTTATTCTAAGTCTTTCTTTATTCCTATTAATAGAGTCTTCTTATTTTGAGATTTTTCAGTCTCTTTAGCCCTTTTAGGCTTTAAATGTGGGTGTTTTTTTCAGTATTTTTCCTCTTTATGGCCTGCCTTTTTATAGAATAAGTATTTAGGCTTGTTTTTAGCCTTATTAGTTGATTCTGTAGGCATAGCCATTTCCTAAGGCTTTTTAGACTCTAAACGTTTATTTTCATCGATTAGATAGCTAAATATAGCTATTAAATCGATATTTTCAGTTTAAGTTCTTAGGTGCTAAGTTATTATGGCTATCACGTTCTTATATTCACTTATAAGGTTATTAAGCGCATAGATAACTATAATCTTTATTAAAATAAATAGGTTTCTAGTCGCTAACTCGTTTAATAAATATTTTATTCGTGTTAAATAAGCCTTAATTAAATTCTTTTCTCTAGCTAAGGTTATTAAGAATAGCTCCTTATATAGAAGGAATTCCGAACTAAAGCCTTTAGGTTTATATAGGGCTTTTAGTTAATCCCATATCTCTATAGCTATTAGTAAGCCTTTAACTTGTAATAGTGACCTATTGTCTAGGGCTAGACAAATTAGGGCGGCTACCTTAGTCAAATTGTTTTCTCATGTCCTTATGTAGGCTATATAGGCTTCCTTAGTGTCAAAATCATCGATATAAGGCTTAACTAGATATAGGGCGTTCTCATATCCCTTATCCGTTATATAGGCTTTCATTTGTAGGGCCTAGAACTCCTAATTAGTGAAGCCTTTTAGGCGCTAAACTCTAAATGGATTAGAGTTATTAGCCATTTTTAACCTTATACCTTATATATATAGATATATATATAGGTTATAGATTATTATATATTAATATAAGTATTCTAAACCTTATAAAGGTTTTAGAATAAATAAAGAGTTTTTCGGAAATCTTAGATTCCTTAGACTAGAAGGTCTCTTTATGTCACTTAGTAACCGTTCCTTATAGGGTAAGGCGTTAATATAAAGGTCATTTATATTACTAAAGCTACCTAGGCTCATAACCTATTAAGAGAACTAGGTTATATCGTAATAGGGAAGGGTATAGTGTAATAGGCCTTTATTAATGAATGAGTAACTAAGTGATAGCTAAATAAGGACTTAAAGAGCTTTTTTAGAGTGAAAGCCTATAAAGGGGGGTAAAGGTCTCCTTATATAGACGTAAAGGAGAATCTATATAGAAGGCTTTAGAACAGAATAGACTATTAATTATAAATTAATAGTCTTACTATGCTCAGCCTTACGTAGTGTGCTCAGCCTTACATAGGTTAACTAGTTAACACTTTTAACTTAGAATAGTTAATATAGTTAACACTATATAATAAATAGAATATTATTTTATAGTTATTAAGAATAGACTTAATAATATATCTTATTAAATCTCTAATTATTTTATTACCTAAAAAGTTTTATAAAGCTTAATAGTTATAAGTCTAACTATTATATTTACTTAGTAATTTATTATATATAATAGTCTTATCACTATAAGGCTAATTAACTAGATTAATTAAGTATAATTTAGCTCTATACTTTAATAATAAATAGTATAATCCTATTACATAATACCCTAAAAATAATTAATATATTAAGTCTAATTTAAGAGCCTTAACTTACTAAATTAGTTATTATTATATTATTTAACTTAAACTTATAAGAAGCCTTTAAAATATAAGTAAAATACCCTATAAAGAGTATTATTATCTCATTAATTATAAGGAAAAATAAGAGCACTATTATCTACTAATAGTTAACTCTTATAATAGAATAAATAGACTTAATTTAATATCACTAAGGCGTATTAATAGTAATAAACTTAGTTAACTCTATATAATTAGTATTAAATAAGAAAAATCGATAAATTTACTTCTATTAATTATACTCTATAAATCTTATAAGTATACTTATTAAGCTAGTTTAGTACTTATATCTATAAATCTCTATATAAATAACTATATAAAAAAAGTAAACTAAGTTAATAGAGAAGTTTTTCTTCTATAAGAGAAACCTAGGGCCTTATATTTCTTAGGGCTAGGTCCATTAATTAAGTGGCCCTAGTATTTATTATATCACAGATTAATCAAATTAAGTTCCAGCCTAAAAACCTTATAAATAGATTAATAGGCTCTCTGCCTAACGCTAATATAGTTATTAGCCTTTATAGTACTTAAATAGGTAAAAGATAAGAAGGATTCTCCTTAGGTTTAAGGTCCTTAACCTCTATAGCTATATTAATCCTTATAGGGCGTGTTTTAGGCACTTTCAGCGCGTTTTTTTTGCTTTTTTTTGAGGTCTAGGTGATATAGACCTATCCTTTTCATCGAACCAGCGTTTAGCCTTTGGAATGCGTTGTGAACGTCTCATGGCGGGTGTTTTGTGGAGTTGGCACCTGTCAAACGCGTGGTTTGCCAAATAGAAAAACGCGCCAAGACCATGCCAAGCCACCAACATAACAAACGGGCTGCGGAGGAGATAATATATATATATACACACACGAACTCCTCTTCTTCGCCACGGTTTGCTGGGAGTATGCTCGAGCACGCACGGTACAATTGTGTATCAGGATACCAACGGGGTCATTCCTGGCTCTCGAAGGCTTTTTTTCTTTCTCGAACCGGGCTCGACATGTCCCGCCCCACGGATATTGGAAAGTGGCTTGGGAGGAGAGAAAGAGAGGGCCGGTCGAAGTCAAGAATGTCATTCCAATGTCGACCGATCCAGGGTTCGAAAGGTGTCGCCAGTGGGCATGTGTCCATCAAAGAAAAATCCCACCACCCTCTCAGAATTGAAGGGCTTCAAAGCAATGGTGAATTCAGTAGTACCGTTCTTCCCCCTACCGAGTACTGTCGTACTCAATACTCTTGTCGACAGTGTTTTTGTTTTTGGCATGGCTACCTAGGTGCGAAAAGTTGTGCACACTCGCTCGAACTCAGGATCCAAACATGATCCGAAAAGATCTACACCATACACACACTTGGGGCAAACAATTTCTGCTTTGACCGAGATTCAGTTACAATCACAATACGGTTAACAAACAATACATTGCCTGTGCTGGTTCGTTTAATGCGCGTTCATGACGATTTTCCCCCGCGATTGTCTAACTAGAGCTCGGCGAGACTCAACTCCTCGGCCAATCCTATTCTCAATGTCCTCACCACCTCGTCGCCCGTCACCTGCTTGTTGTCCTTGAACCTCTCCCGCCAGTCCCATCCTTTCGGTGCAGTATCGTGGTTCTGGCCGGGGCCGGGGACAAGCACGCCGCTACTGCCTGCACTCTTGCCGCCACCCGTGCCCGTGCTGGTCAGATCGCTCTTGCCCAGCATCTCCGAACCCATCATGCTAAAACTAAAAGCCGAGTTCGTGCCGGACGACATGCTTTTCTTGAGCATGGCGTGTGGACTCGGCGGCTGGGAGCCGTGGAAGTTCCGCAGAGCGGCCTGCAAACATTCTTCCGTGGCGTCGTACACCCGCGCCGACACCGTCGAGAGGTCTTCGATCGCGGCCAGGATGGAGTAGATCTGCGTCGGGGTCAAGACCGACTTGCCCGAGGGGTGGCTGTCGGCGAGCAGCGCAGTGGCTTCACCAAGCAGTGTTAACAACCCGTCGACTTGGATGGCAGATTGGCGTTCAGGGTCGTAAAGACCGCCATAGATGCTGTCTGCTGCACTGTCGATTGCAGCGACGAGGGTCTTGGCGGCAGCTCTACGACGGGCGAGAGGTTTGAGAGTCGAGGGCTTCATTTGTAAAGCATCTTGGTCGCGTAGAGTGTAGAAGCGTCTGAGACAAGCATAGCCGACAAGGTAGAATTGCAGAATTTCCGCGGCTTCGGGATCGGCTTCGGCGATATCTGACAGGGCAGACTTGGGGTTTCCGACCAGGCTTTGTAGTCCATCGTCCATCTCATTTTCCGGTGGATATGCTCGAGACTGGACCAAGGAGTAGCTGATCAGCAGATCGATCAATTGTCGAATCTTGTGTGACGCATGACTCCGTGAGTAGCACAGGAGAGCTGTGCCATAGTCTGTCGTGTTGTTGACGAGATGATCTCCAAAACGATCCGAGACCTTGCGCGCTTCTTCCTGCAGGCCGAGATCCGAGCAAAGATTGGTAAGCTTCTCAGCTCGATCCTGGGAGACAACCTGGAGCTGGTCAAGATAACCGCCAACAGCAACTCGCATGGCCTCACGGTCATCCAGTCTGTTCACGACCGAGATTGCCACTTCCCAGCCCTCAACCGCAGTGCCGTCAGGGAGCCGTAATATGTCCTTATCAAAGAGCTGATCGGCGTAACCCCGCAGAATATCATCCTTGGACACAGCTGGCTTCTCTACGCCGTAGCTGAGCACCATGAGATCCTCATCATTCAACCCACTTGGTCGAGAAGCGGAGCCTTCAGTTTCTAGCCATCCCGCCTTGGACCCAATCTCGGCCACAGAAGCAGCAATACATTGGGACAAGACACGGAGCACTAGAAGAGCTCCTTGAGTGTTACCCTGGAGCACCGCGGCTAAGCCAACCTCAACAGGCGACATGGCATTGATTTGGAATGCATTCTTATCTTTGGGATCGGTCACGCTGAGAAACGAGTCTCGCAACCGTGCGAGATAGAGGTCTGTCTCGGTGAGGTTTGCCGCTTCCAAGTTATTAGCTCGGCTGACGTCGAAACTCCATTGGGCGACTGATGCATTTGCGGTGCCATCCCACCATACCGTCAAAGAGGTCGCAGCCTCGAGCCAATCCTGAGACTGAGCAACAATCTCTTCGGCACTACCGAGCATGATGTTGTAGATTATTTTCAAGTTCTGGTAGATCGTCCAAGGCAAGGTCGATTTGGACTTCTGCCCAAGCTTGGCGAGGAGGGTTTTGCCAGGTTTGCGCAATCCAAAATTCTCCGCCTCAAAAGATTCATCATCGTCAAGTTCTTCGTGAGCTGAAGCCTGATCTGTCAAATTTTCCAGTTCTGCCTCGACTTGGCTCCGAAACAAGTCCCACTCCGGGCCTGCCACATTCCAATCTTCGAGTTGAATTACAGGACAAGAGTTGAGTAGGACTCTTGCGCGGTATATGGCACTCTGGACTGCTTGGAGCTGTGCGCCTTTGTAGCCGATCTCATCCGTGCCCTCATCTGTAGCAGATGCGGCGTATCGAAAATCGGCATCAGCAAACAACTGCATGACCATGCCCAATCTGCCCCTCAGCACCAAGCTTTGAACGGCATCCCAAAACAAGTCGTGAGATACGCAACTGGGTTGAGCTGAAGCTACGGAGTTGTAGAGCGACTCATACGAAACGTGATACTCATCGAGCCATTCTAGGAGAAGCTGTGGCATTGGAGTCGAAGGGCCGTTTGGAGAAGGAGGAGGATGCCGCAGGGCGAGTAAGAGAGATGCTAGATAGTTGGCTTTCGTGAACGCAGGCGCCGAAGGCTGTGGCCCGATCTCGCTGCTATCGAGGGCAGGACGGTCTATCTCCACGAAGCGATGCCAGACGGAGATCAACTCGACGACTCGCTCAGAAACGGCTTCGAGGGCCCTGTTGCTGTCCATCAAGTACTGCGTCTGCTCGTCGAGTTGTCGGAGGAGCTGTTCGGTTTGCAAGATCACCTCGTCCGGTTCGGCTAGAGTGGCTGGTTGTGCCCTCGTGGCCATGTTCTGCGCCAGACTGACGACGATGTTTTCATTGCCTTTGTTGGGCAAGGCAGAAATTCTCGAGGCCCGTAAAGGTCTACTACGATGCTGATGGGACAACATCCTGGAATCTCGATTGTTCCCGCTCATGGTGCTGAACTTCATGAGCGATGCTGCCGATTGCTCATTCATAGTTTCAAAGCCCCGTGAGAATCCAAACTGGCTTGTCCCGTACTCCTCCGCCACCCCTGGCTCTTCTTCTTCCATGGCTTCTTCATCTGAAAAGTCCGCATCTGCATCATCTAGGTCGGTGTATTCTGAGTTTTGCGACAGCCCAAACGAAGTGTGATATGGTCTTGCCATTTTGCTGGCTGGCGTCCCATTCTTCGTGCGCGGCTCTTCGTATGATCGGGATTGTGGAGAGCGTAAGGGAGGAGACGATTTCGAAGGCTTGGAGGGCAATTGTAGTTTGCTGACGCCAGTGTTGCCGAAAGAGGAGCTTCCGAAGATCTGGGAGGGAGGAGGCGCGATAGGGGTCGTGCTGGCTAGCTGCGGAGTATTGGAAGCGAAGAGATTTGCGCGTGGTCGTTCGGGCTCTTTGCCAGGAGTGGAATTGATGCTGGACGAATAGTCCGCGGTGAAACGGTTCATGATGATGGGGGGCGGATGAGCTATTCGCGGTCTTCGATCAAAAGCATTGCCTCGGTAGCACAAGAGAAAGGATCTTGTCAGTTTCGTTTGCGACTGAATATGGCTAGATGGTGGGCAAAAGTGCCGTTGTCGCGCGTTGTCGTGTTGTTTCAGTACAAGAAATAATGGTCGATACGGAGTACACAAAAAACGAAACGCGGTTTCAAACAATGACGCCGCTTAGTCATGCAGCCAATGGACTCCAACACCATCAACCACCATCACCACCACTTGCCCTTTCCGAAGAGGCACCACAATCATTATTGACGGTGTTGGTATCATACAGACTCTCTCGGTCTTCACCTCTGACGATTTCGGGCTTCATAGGGATTTATAAGAACTTGTATGCACCGTCTGAGATCCTAGATCCCTGTTTATCGACTGGCTTGGCCGAGATTCCCATCAATCCGCTCACTTCCCGCCTTTGGCATCTCCATTTCCAGCAATTGACCGAGACCATCGATTTCTGGACCGAGGCTTTGATAAATCATCACTTTTCCCTTGGTAAAAGCTGGAAAGAGATAAAAAGAATAATAACTCTCTCACATTTCGAATCGAGACAGCTGAGCCTAGAGTCTGCATTCTATCCTCTCCAAGACAATCACTCAGCGTCATCATCCTTGTTCGTTTGAACCACACTACGATACACAATGTCAACCGACTACAAGTTCCAAGGCTGGGTCGGCCTCGACAAAGACTCTGCAAACGGCCACATGGTCTGGCGAGACTTCACCCCCAAGCCCTTCGAGGAAACCGATGTTGACATCAAGATTACTCATTGTGGTATCTGTGGCTCTGACCTGCACACCCTCAGGAGCGGATGGGCTCCGGCCATGTACCCTGTCGTCGTTGGCCACGAGATCGTTGGAACCGCGGTCCGCGTAGGGTCCAAGGCCGAAGGAGGGATCAAAGTTGGCGATCGAGTTGGCGTCGGAGCTCAGAGCTCGTCGTGTCTGAGGCCCGACTGTGATGAATGCTCCCACGGGTCCGAGAACTACTGCCAGAACGGTCAAACGGGCACGTACAACAGCAAGTATCGCGACGGCAACAAGTCCTACGGAGGCTATGCCAACTATTGGAGAGGCCCGTCCCATTTCGTCTTTCGAATCCCCGATGCTCTACCGAGTGATGTTGCGGCGCCCATGCTGTGCGGAGGTGTTACGGCTTTCTCACCACTCCTCCATCACAAGGCTGGCCCCGGCAAAACGGTCGGCATCATCGGCGTCGGTGGACTCGGTCACTTTGGCATAATGGGAGCCAAAGTTCTGGGCGCCGACAAGGTCGTGGCCATATCGAGAACGTCGACAAAGAAAGCGGATGCTCTGAAAATGGGCGCTGACGACTTCATTGCCACCGACGAGGATAAAGGGTGGAATCGCAAGCACAGGAAAAGCCTCGACATCATCGTGAGCACCGTCTCCAGTCCTAAGATGCCTCTACAACAGTACCTCCAACTCCTGCGGGTCGACGGTGTGTTTGTGCAGATAGGTGCTCCCGAGGACGCTCTGCCCCCGGTCAATGGCTTTCAGCTGCTAGGAAAACGATGCAGCATTACAGGAAGCAGCATTGGAAGTCCTAAAGAGATTAGGTACATGTTGGATCTGTTTGCAGAGAAAGGGGTGCGGACCTGGAATAACAATGTCCCGATGAAAGACGCGAATCGAGCAATTGTGGATATGGAGGCGGGCAAAGCGAGGTACAGATACGTGCTCGTGAATGAGCAACATGCCTCTCGCCTATAGGTGCAATGTGAATACACCTTTTTAGTAACCAACCCAATATCCAACACCATCATCCAGTTCGTCCAGTAAATTAGTAAAACCATGCACAACACGGAGTTTGGGCTGAGTAGTCTATGCGATGCCCATTAACTCAGCAAGCTCGTCAGGACTGAGTGTGCTCCTTCTTCTCGTGGCTCTTCCCGTAGTTCTAGGCTGACCGTTCTTTCTTTTGTTTGTTGTAGCAACAGGACGCTTCTGTACCTCGACTGCTTCCGCCTCAACCATTGCCAGCTTCGTAGGCACAGTCATCTTTTCGCCCTCATGTTTAATCTGTTTGATATTGAATCAGATCTGGGTCTCGCCATATACGCAACATGTCGTGCTCACCTCATTTCCCGTCGACATTTCATTCTCGTCACAAAACCGGCCATCCGAATCGCCAATGTCTGAGTTACTGCTCTGTTTCGAGAAATTTTTGGGCTTCACCGCTCGTGTCGGCGAAGGATAGATATTCTGGTCGATTGCCCGGAGCGGACGGACTGGTTTTCCTATGTTCAGGGCAGCCTTCCGAGCAATCGATGCTCTTCGTTTTCGGGCAGAACCAGGCGGTCTTTCAACAATTTCTTCTGCGTGATTGGCATCCTCCCTTTGCATAAATACCGGACACTCGCGATCGATGCCCTCGTTCGTGTTCGCCGACTCGATGTCCTCTATATTAGTGTTTTCGTAAAGGATCGAAGACAGTTCTTCTTCGGCTCCAAAGATTGGTTGACCATCAGGGAATACTGCCATGCTTTTACCATATTCCAAACCCGAAAGATCTTGACCCGGCAGGCTTTCGCCGTTCTCCCCCATTTTGCGGCGCCAATTGTCCATCATAGTCACTGCCTCCTTCCATCTGTTGGCCATCTTCTCCCAGCCAATCCTCAGCTTGATGATTTCATCGTCACGCAGCTGCACCTCCTCGATGGGGACAAAAGATGGGTCCTTCAATATCGTCCGGCAGTGGTCGAGGGTGGCGGCCATCCGGGTCGCCAAGGCGTCGCAAGAAGTCAGGTTATGACGTTGTCGGGTGGCTATTGTTCGTCTCGACTTGCGGTCCTGTCCTGGTATGCCAATTCCATTATCATCATCAGAGTCCTCGTCAACCATTCCATTCGCGCAGGTGTTCTCCATGTCGGTCAGATCTCGTAGTACGTCCATAGTCTCTGTGATTATTCGCCTCAGAGATACGTTCTCCGTACTCGTCTCATTTACTATGGCTGCCAGGAAATCATTTGTTTCTTTCTCCAGGCCGCATTCGGCCCCCTTGACCTCTCGTCCATTGCGCTTCTCTTTGCCTTTGTGTTCCGGTTCGAAGTTGATGACATTGATCTTCATTCCCGATGCGTCTTTCCGTCCTCGCTGTATCGATGCCAGGTGCGCCTTCAACTTGTCGAGCTCGACGTCCCTTTTCCGGACATCGCTCAAACATTTTGCGCGCACCTGGTCCATGGTGGATTTCATCTTGAGCATTTGATCCTTCAATTCTTTCGCCTGAGCGTCCGCTCTGCGGGCTGCAGCCTTGAGTGTTCTTTCCTGCGCCTCCGCAGTTGAAGCCTCCCGCACGAGTTCGGCATTCTTGTCTTGTAGGCGCTGGAGATCCAAGAGCCGTTGAGCTTCGTCCACCCGGGCTTTGCGGATGTTCATGGCCAAATTTTCCCTCTGCTCTGCATCTTGATCTCGTCGTAGGACCAGGTCGTGGACGAGATTGATCACTCGGGACATGGTCGCATCCGTGCTTTGTCCATGACGGTCGGGCTGCGCGAAATCGATCGCCTTGCCGCTGGGAAGGAGGCCGCGAGCAAGGAGGAGGTTGTTGAGATACTGTGATGCTCGATCCAGGCTGTGCGAGTCCATGATTGCGCCGTGGTCAGTGTCGAGAGCGCCGTGGTTCGACTCGAGGTATGCCGCATCAGCTGCACAACATGATTACCCGATACGGGAGAGCGTAAACATGCCAAGCCTGGAGGTGATGCCGCCCTTAGGCACTTAGTCACCCCCAACTTCAGTCGTGGGGGCCGGATATTTAGGTACCTAGTTTACTGGAGATTATGAAGTCTTGTTAATACATGATCATTCGGCCTGTGGAATATGCAGACCTGACAGCTATGCGAGGACATTCTCATTGTTGAGACAGAAGAACCTCATTTGGAGATTTCCGACAAAGTACTACCAGAAAGCTAGCATACCCCAACGATACAAGCAAAGGTTGGCTTTTCACAAGTAACACCCTTGGTGCGGCAGCGTACTTTGGGTGTGATTGACCAATCCAAAAAGGTCGACAAGCAGATCTGTTGGTGCTCAGAGTGAATCTGGGTGTATCATCTGCCTTTCCCAGCTCTTGAATGGTCCGGATTCACGGCAGATATTTCTATACTCCAGCATTTGTCTCCGACCTCGTTTCAACTTGCTCTGTTGAAAGTTCGAACTTTTCCCCAACATCTCCTGTATTGCCACGGAGATTCAAGTCTTGTCCCTCCTTAATCATCCTCCTCAGCTCCGAAGCCCTTTTGACAGGGTTGGTCGTAGGGTCCATGAAGGCGAGGTCCACCAACTCAAGCGTCAAGCCAGAGGTTTCGGGGAAGAAAAAGTAGACCAACGGGACGAATGCCAAGTTGAAACAAGAAAAGATCAAGTAGGTCTTCCAACCGATATTGGAAATGGCGGTCGGGACAATCTCAACCACCACGAAGCTCCAGATCCAGAGCATGCTGTTGGCCAAACCCAATCCTCGGCCACGGAAGTCTAACGGAAGAATCTCCGGTCCGTAGCACCAGACACCTCCCATGAAGCCCCAGGTGTAGAACGCCTGGTAGGCAAAGAGCATGACGGCAGCCACTATGCCGGATGCGTGTGTATCGATGGCAATCATGGCCGCCAAGATCGCCATGACAATTGCCATGGCGGTGCCAGTGATCATGAACATTCGGCGCCGGCCGGCGCGCTCGATGAACCACCAGGTCCCTGCCGAAGCAATCAGGAACCATATCTGGAGAAAGCCCGACATGAGCAGGGACATGTGGCGGCTGAACCCCACGGATTCTTCGAAGCTGTCGACAAGATTGTTATTGGGGTGCACTGTGTAGAAAAGGTATGGCGTCTTACATGTAAGTGGTATAATAGCTGACAGGAGTACTGCCACTCCATGGCTGCATAAAGTTCACCAAACATGCCAGGATAACCCGACGCCTTGAACCGACCAGGTCTTCGTGGCGGAGAAGTGCCATCCACCCCCTCCTCCTCTGGCTGTGTTCGACTGCGACGGCTTCTCGGATTTCCGCCATCTCGGAGGCCACCACACTCTCGACTTCGGGGTTGGCCGATCGCAACGCACGGAGGACCTCTTTCGCTTCATCGTAGCGCTCGTTCATGATGAGCCATCTGGGTGACTCGGGCATGAAACACAACATGACGCTCATGAGAATGGCGAAAAGAGCCTGAAAGCCCATCGGAAAGCGCCACACGATAGTGCCAGTGTACGAATTCATTCCATAGTCCATCCAGTATGCAATCACCTACAGCATGTCAGCTGGTCATTCGACCCACGCTAGCATGTAAGCGATGATTTCTTACCTGGCCCACAAGGAGAAAGCTGAGGGAGCCGGCAATCAACGCTCCTCTTTGAGCCTTGGGAGAAGTCTCGCTTTGCCAGATGACAACGTTGGAGGCGATGATGCCCAGACCAAACCCGGCAACAATTCGTCCCACAATGAGTTGTGCTGTTGAAAAGCTGCTGGCTTGAATGATGGCGCCCAAAACAATAGCCACACTGCCTATGTGAGTCATCCGGAGACGCCCTAGACGGTCATTGTTCAAAGAGGTCATCAATGAACCAAAGAAAGCGCCGACGAGGAATAACGAGGTGACGGTGCCTTGCATGGATGAGGTCAGGTTGAATACGTCTTGGAACGACGGGGCAGTCAAAAGTCCGCCGATGACTCCATCATCATATCCTAGAAGAGCAATGGTTAGTCGGCACAAGTAGGAGCTGCGTATGGCATGGCATATGCAGACGACTGTGTAATAGCTTACCGAACAGGACGAACCCCATCCCGGCAGAACAGGTGTTGGCTACCAGGAGGCTTCGGCCTCGCAGGCCAAGAAAAGGTTGTACCATGTTTGAGAGTATTCGAAAAATGCTTCTTTTCAATTTGGAAGGACTCCATTCTGGATACGAACCTCTATTTATGTGGAAAATCCCCTGGTCCGTTCGAGAGTCCCCAGAAGACGGCCTACGTGGGGTGTTAAGCATGGGGAACACAGTGCCTCAGGCAATACAAGAATTCAGGAGAAAGGCTCCCATATCTTGATCACCCGGCACATCGGCAATTTAGGTTTGCGACCACATAGACCGCCTGATTGGACAAGCAGTGACGACCTCCTCGACGGGACAGGTGCTTAGCTCGACTTTTGGCTTCAGTGGAGCTAGGATATTCGAGCCGTCGTCCTGAAAACTGGGGTTTCGCGGGGGTCACTACAATTCTCGACTACGTACTCCGTAGTCCTAGGTCGCGTGGGGGTTTCACTGGGAAGACGTCTGTGGGAAGGATACAAATAGAGGATAAGTTGAGTCGCCAGTCAAAGGTGTGATGATCATCACTACGTTTGAGAGTCACTTCGTCTTACCTTAGGTACGCGTCAAAGTCTGGGGCCCAGCAACTCCGATAGAAAACAGTGAGATTCTCGTGGGGTCCATTTCTCAGCCAAATGGCTGGACGGCTGTCGCATACTACCCCTACTGGCAAAGGCATTGGGAAGAAGCACCAAGCATCGACATCCAATTGGAAACGCAGCTTTGTGTCCTCCGGTCGTTTCTCGAAGATCGGCATCGCCCGATGTAGGCCAGGGAAGAGCTACTGCTCGTTGAATACCACGTCGAAAAGCTTCATCGCCAGCTCTACTCAGGTGACATGCGAAAAAATTTCGTCTGAGCACTCTGTCAACTAGGCAAACGGGCCTGTGAGCAAATCCATCCTGCCAATCATCCGCACGAACCCAGTGCCAGGTAGACACATAACACAAGATCGTTTTCCCCAAGCAAGTCCTTTCCCAAGTAGAAGGCAAGATTCGCTTTGGACAGGGGGTTTCCAATACCCACTTTTCAGCGAGCGTGGCCAAAACTCATAAGTGTATTCTAGATGAAGTGAATGATAGTCTGAGCAGCATGCAAACGAAGTCTCTCTAACTTCCTCGCCTGGCATGGAATAACTTCGCTGGAGAGCAGGCATCTTTTAAAGCGGCGATGTTTGGGTGACCGCAAGAGCTTAGTGAACCACGGCTGGGGCCGCCAGGACGCGGCTCTCATTATTAGTGGCAAGTCAAGATCACTTCACGCGTTCATCAAGGGGCTCTACACATACCACCCCAGCTTCATCAATGAATACTATGAAATGAATAGGTGACTTGGCTCCATCATCCTACTCTATGCACCTCTTTTCGGTCGATGTCGCCGGTGACATGATGTCAGCGTCGACAGCAATAACCCAACTTCTCCAAGATTGTCGGAAAGCTGCAAGGGAAGGGCAATGGAATAATGCCTTGAATCTCATGGATCAAGCCTTGCTAGCATGTGGTTCCACTGACACCAGAACCCGAATTACGATTCTCGACACTCGTGTAGCGGTGCATCTACGCACGAAAAAGCCTGGTCTAGCTTTACATGACGCCAAAGCAATGATCCGCGCCGACAAAAGTGATGGACGTGGTTATGTCCGCTGTGGCCAAGCCGAAATGGAACAAGGCAACGCATCTGCTGCCCTCGAGTGGTACGAGCATGGCATTAAACGCGTGTCGCCGTCGAGCCAGTACTTTGCAACCATTTCTGCGGCGGCAGGCAGCACTCGAGAACAGATCCGCCTCGACACCGTCAATTCCAGACCAGTCGACCCAATGCAAACTCTGCCAATCGAACTTGTCCAGAAATTCCTGTCACTTCTACCCTACAGGCAGCATATAAAAATGCTGCGGGTATGCAAGGCCTGGAACAGACTTCTACGAAGCATGTCACCACTGACTGACACATTGGCATTCCCAAGCCCTACCAAGGACATCAACACGAAGATGCTCCACGCGGCTCTGAGACGGCTCACACGCCCTACCGCTGTCCGCGTCGACCATTTGCAGCAAGCAGCATCTGACCTCCTGGCCGATCGTATGCGGTACTGGCAAAATTGGCAGAACCTTGCAGTTCTCGAGGTAGAGGACAAGCGGTTCGCGGCCTGGAACCTGCCTCTTCCCAAGTTCGACCTAAGGACCATCAAACTCCATCCCGAATCAATCCCTTTTGCAGTAGTCCAACAGATCCTTCAAGATTGTCCCAAGCTGGAAACAGCCATATTCTCGCAGGTGTTGTTTCCATCTCGGCCTCAAGCTGATGGGTTGACGGCCTCTCCCTTTCCTCATATCCCCGTGCTTCACGGGGATAATCTGCGACAGCTTCACATAAGCGCAAGACCACTATCTGAGCCCATGCCTCTCAATATCGTAAGTCTGGTGTAGCAGAACTTTTATCTGGCCTCTTGACCTTGTGTGTTGACCACGTACATACAGACAAACTTGTTCGATCGCATGTTACGGCTCGAAAGCCTGGGCCTTGCCAAAATTTGGTCCGGGTTCTCATTTGATCTTCGGCACTTGAAACGCCTCCAGCATCTATCACTGAGAGACTTTCGTACCCCGGAGATCAGCCTTCCTGCTTCGCTTAAGTCTCTCGAGATCTTCCTCTCGTCCATAGTGGCACTAGTTGAGCCCACAGACTCATTTCCTCGGCTTCAATCAATTCAGCTAGAAACCTTCAAGGCAGTTGGATGCGAGAGTCTGCCGGATTTTTTGTTCATTTCGATCGCCACGGAGAACATCGCCAAGTTTACCTGGATGGGCACGACAAGGGCACAATATGAGAACATGCTGTGTCATCTCATAGAGATAGGTAGGTTCAAGGGTGTGCGGGACCTGCATTTGCAGACAGGCGCCCTCTCGGACAGCCTCGGTCCGGGTTTTGCAACCGGCCTGCCTAGTCTGGAAACACTGGTCATCGAAGAATCCCAGATCACGGGGGCTTTCATTTCAGATTTGATCGAAGCCAACAACAAACTTCACAAGGTGACCCTGGTCCAGTGCCCCAAGGTCTCCAGCGACATTGTAGCGTGGTCAAAAGCAAGAGGTGTGCATGTCAAACGACTGAACAGCACGAAGGAATTGACCGGGAAGCGGGTGATTGAAGAGATATAAACGAGAACGCTAAATAGAGGCTGTGCTTGGTCAAGATAGCACGCCATATACGTAGGTATCATGAAAAGGGAAAAAAAAGCGGGTGGTTCATTATCCAGTCCCGAGTCCCCATGGTGTCCTTCTTGCACCTGTGTCCCCGGCGTCCCAAATTCCCCGGTTGAACGTTCTTCGATCCGAGTCCGTCTCTATCCATCATAAACAAATCGCTTTTGCCTTGCGCCCAAATATCCCGATACGCCTCTTCCCTAGAATTCCGAACAAACATCGATGTGTGTGTGTGTGTGTGTGTGTGTGTGTTGTTCCATTTGATCAAATCTCCCCAACATTCTGCGTGTCAATGTGGTCGTGGGTAGATACCGAGCTCTCTCGATGCGTTCGTGCACATCACAGAAGTAGACTTTGCCGAATTTCTTCGCACCAAAGAGGCACACACACGCGTTCACCTCATAAAGCGTGCGACTCACTCGCCAGCGTTTCGGATCTAGATGATTACGAGAGAGCCTGCTCTCGTCGTCCTCCATCGTCTCTCTCTCTCTCCCTCTCTTGCGGCTCCGCTCCTGAGTCCCACGTCGACAGGCAATTTGACAGCTCCCAGTGAGAACCATACCTTAGTCAGAGGCAGACTTTTCCAAACTCGAAAAGAAGCTCGCTCCGGGATTGGATCATAAGATGTCGAGGTCCTCGAATTCGGCGATGAGCTCGTCCACCTCGTCCCAAGCGTTGCTGGGCTCGTAGTCCATGGGCCGGCTCGCGTAGCAGCCGACCCAGATGTTGCCCTTTTGTTCGACCCCCGCGAAGAAGCCGGCGACCTCCCGCATCTGCTTCCACCGTGACCCCAGGTCTTCCGGGCTCGGGTGTTCCGTCGCGTACGCGGAGCTCGCGTAGTAGTTCGTCTCGGGTTCCGAGTAGTTTGGGATCTCGTACGAGATCCAGAGGGACTGGTCGACCCGTTCGAACCTGATGCGCAACGACTGGGACGACACGGACGTCAAGGAGAATGGGTCGAAGGTCGAAAACGGCGAGGGCATTCGAGCCGAGGACGACCAGTCGGCCCCGCAGGTCGAGACGGCGACCGACGACGCCGCGTGCAGTTCCCCCCTGGCGAACTCCAGGCCGGCCTTGGCCCACCTTCGGGTCACGATCGACTCCAGGGTGAAGCCCGAGGGGTACCGGGAACCGCTCCTTCGACCCGAAGGTGTCGTCGTCGTCGTCGTCGTCGTCGCCTGTGACACCATCGACCCGTCCACCCCCGGAGGGGGCCCGCCCGCGAAGATGACCAGTCCGGCCTGGTCGTGGTCCATGGCGAATTCCGCCGACACCGTCACCTCGGCCAGGAGGAAGGACTGCTGCAGCCGCTTCAGGACCATCGGCGCCGTCACGTCGTCGGACGACGCGCCGGGCTCCCTCTGCAGGTTGCTGTTGGGAGGGGCGTGCAGCGTGAAGTACTCGTTCACGTCCTCCGACTGTTCAAAGTTGGACCCGACGTTGAGGGCCTTGAAGCCCGAAAAGCCGAGCTCCATTTGCATGTCAACGACGCCAAAAAAAAGAAAGGTTTGGTCTTGTCCTTGCCAGAGACCGTAAAAAGAGAGATGGAAAAAAAAGAGTCCAAAAGTTGGTCACTTCTCTTTCCTTTTTCCTTCCGTGTGTGTCGGTGTTTTTTTGCCTTGGGGGCAAAACGGCAACAAGCTGGCTTTGCTGGAGTATTGCGATTGCAGTTGGCGATCGATCAACGATCACCCCCGGAAAGATGGATGATCCTTTTCTGATGATGATTGGAAAGATTTGAATACTGTAAATTTTTATTGCCGTGCACACTGACGACAACGGCGACGACAAAACAGCACCGGTGATGATGATGATGATGATGACGGGGGTGGATTATTATTGACGGGGGGCTTTTTTGTGATATATGCGTGGACGATCTTAACGGCTGTCATAAACAGGTTGACCGGGAAGCGCAGCACGGAACAAGGCGAGACAGTGACAGATGACACGGATCATGGCGCACAGATTGGCAAGGAAGCTGTCATGTTTGAAGAATTTATTACTCCGTAGTCCTGCCCCCTCCAAAAAAAAAGGACAAGAGATGGCGGCGGGAAGTGTCACGGGGGGGAGAGGCGAGAGAGGGAGCAGGGGGGCTAATAAGAGATGGATGAAGCAAAGTGACATCCGAGCTTTCTCTGGTGTGTACGGAGTACCTTTTTTGTTTTATTTACGGAGTACACACAGACACGCACACACACACAGAGTTTTTTCTAGGACGAGCGAGTAGAATTGACTACACGATTAAAAGTCTTCTTTCTCGGTGCGAAGGTGTGGGAATGGTTTGTAACAACAGCAAGCCCCCGATGATGGAAAAAGGGATGTGTTTGTGTGTGGCCAAATAACATGTGCCCAATTAAGGAGGAGGAAAGCAACTGATGTCTCAATTCAATCCAACACCATCATCATCATTATCCTCCATTCCTGCAAGGGGGTAGCCGGCGCCAGGCAAAGGGGGAAGGGAGGTGATTGATTGAGAGTGGTTGGGTGGGATACTCCGTAAGGACGGATCACTCGTCAGGTTGTATTGTGTAGTACTCCGTAGCCACGAGCTGAACGAAAGGACCTCGCCGTAGCCAGCTGGATCAAGGACAAATCCAGTAAGTAGTTCGATGCGCGGTCGCCACGACCGGTGGGAAATGAACCAATGGATTTGCTCATCAACACATTTACATGCAGTTCGGCGGTACCGGGGCCCTGGTAAAGAAAAAAAAAAGGCGGAACGATGGTCGCCGGGAAAAGACACAATCCACTGTTTGTAACAATTGGGGCTCCGGAAAATACTGTCCATTTGGAAACAGACATCACTTGACCCTAAAACCACCCAAGGCACAAAATCTATCACATGTTGCGAGGTCAAGTAATTCAGGTCCGACATGATGCTATCTCGTCTGGTCGTACATGCTTACCACCACCGTATCTACAGTAACAGGTACAGTAGCTGACTGTACACCGTTGAGGAGTTTTTAGTCGTCAGCATTGGCGGCACTGGACTGGGTGACGAGGATCGTGTGATGATTATGATGGTGATGATCATCATCACCAAAAGCCGGCCTCATGTCAGGCGAGTCTGAGTAACACTAAATAACGAGGTAGTGGCCACGGGGCACGCACGCACGCACGCACGCAGCGTTTTGTGTTACACCGGCCAACCGGGCAAAGCGAACGGACCCGTGGGAAACCAGCAGCATGGACAGACCCAAAAATCAAAAAAAAAAAAATCAAAAACACACGGTGCAAAAGGAGGACATTGCTTCTTCGTGGGGGACCAAGAGACGGTTGTTTCTCCCCCTTGCATGGAACCATGCAAGACTGTACCTAGGTACCCAAGGTAAGGAAACCTCGTGTGCCTCTGTAGCAGCCATTCATTGTACTCCGTACTTCCGTACACCTCAATTCGACCTGCCGGGTCCCTTACGAGAGGGGGAGTTTTGTACTTGACCCCCTTGAACCCCCCCCCCCGACTACCGTACGGATAAACCCTCCTTTGAGCAGCTAAATAACTCCCTAGCTACAGTACGGAGTATCCGGTACCTGGTAAGGAGTATATGGGTCACTGATGAGGGAAACGGAAGCCCCCCCGGGTTAGCGTCTTTAGGCCAGGCACCTACGGAGTTACAGTACCTGCTGTCGGCACCTTACTTTGGCGTACAATGTACCTAGCTAGCTACGAGTACAGTATACAAAGTACGACGACGACGACTACGACTACTACTACTACTACCACCCATTGTACGGAGTACCTTGTAGCTTGGTACATGTCCGGTACTTCCATTTCTACCCTTTTTAGGTAACTATTCCTTGGGGCTAAATAGTGTCCTCTCTCTCTGTCTCTCTCTCTCTCTCTTATTAGCATACTCATACTTGTACTGTAAACTGTTAGGCGGGTTAGTTTACAGTGGGAACAGTGCCTGCTGGAAATACCTTTGGAACGGTCGATATGATCCTTTATCCTAAGGAGATCCAGCCACTTATCACCCCCAACATCGAGTCCACAAGTTTAATCCCGTCTTGATTTCCACCGCCGCAATTTGACACTGACACTGACAACTTGACGTTTTTGACGTGTCTCACGAAAACCCATCATGTTTCTCCCCCCTCGCCCCGCCGCCCAAAAATTCTTCTGCACGAGGCGGTGGAGTGTTTCTCGCACGAGTCAATCACTCTGGGTACTATATACCCGGGGGGGTGGTTGGGCTAACAGTATTTACCTACAGTAGGTACAAACCGCCCGGTTACTGACCAGGCAGAATCAAAAGGAACACTACCTAGGTAGGTATCATATTGGGCACATGGTTGTGATTTGACAAAACTAAAACACCTCGGTACCTAGATACAATACAATAGCTTGTGAGGTCGCCGGAGGTCAGACTCGCACGTCCCCTGTCAAAGTGTTTTGGATCGTCCGGTTCTGCACACGACGGTCATGCTTTTTCCCCCTCCATCATCAACATCACAGAAAGAAGGGAAAATCGGAGACACGAGATGATAATGGAGTGCAGGCCACGTTGCTCACGACCTCAAAGTAGTGTTGTATCTCAACACGTGATATGGAAATACTTTGTTTGATTTTCCCCCAACGAGTGGACTATCAAAGGCCGTTGGTTCGCATGTACGTGATTCTTTCTCGTCTCATTTCCTGCCCTTGCCCTTCTTCTTTTTGTTCCCTCCGGATGCAGAGGCAACAGGAGCTGCCGGTTTCGCGTCGACATTCAAGTCTTCATTCACGACGCCGCCCTGTGTGTCACCGCCTCGTTTGGCCCTCTTCTTGCCCTTGGGTGGACGGTAGTAACTCCTGTCCTTCATGGGCAGCCACCGTTCCGGGTCTGGTTTCTTGTTCTCGTCAAAGTCTTTGGGTAGTCTTGACTTGCGGATGCGTTTCGCTTTGCCTTCCCCAGCTTCCGGAGCGCCTCGCTTCTTGCTCCGTCCTAGTTGTGCAATGGCCAGCGCGTTCGACGACTGCGGGATCCCGGCTTGCTCGATCGAGCCAACGTCCACGTCTCGAACCAGGTCCTCGACCGGGGTGAGTTTGTCAATGTCAGACTTGAGCTGGCTGCTCCCAGCTGCGGCGTGGGACGCGACGTAACCGGCAGCTGTCGCCTTGTCGTTCGGTAGCTGTTCCTTTAATCTTGCAAAAATCTCCGACGCCAACTTTGCATCAGCTTCGTCATGGGATTCTAGGAGTGAAACACCGGCTGCAGTCAAGAGGCTCGCGGGAGGGTTGGGTTGCGTGCGCCAATATGCAGCGGCTTTTGCAAGTTCTTTCTTGACGTGGCTCTTTTGGTCTCGATGCTTGTACAAGCTGATCATGAGGCTCACAAGGACAGGGTTGAATCTGGTCTTTTGCTCATGTTCAACGGCCGACTGCTCCAGTCGCTTCAAGAAATCTTCCATCAACTCCACTGCTGATGTGCTGTCGCCGTTCAGCATGTATAACTGGACCAAGGTGACGATAATGCCGATATCCTTTGGCTGTTTTTCCAGAAGAGACAGTATCTTCCGAATCGCAGCCTTGCCTGTTCCGTTACCTGCCACCGCCGCTGCCTTTGAGCATGAGGAAATAAATTCGTCTGATGGTGTGTCCGACTTCCCCGGGATATGCCTGGATGATTTCAAGCCATCAAACTTGAAAGCCCGTAGATCTAGGGTTGCCTGGTTGGACGTCAGAGGTGCACTCTGGAAGGAAAAGAGCTTGTCATTCGACGGAATCTTGTCAGTAGCATGGAATTGTTTGTAGGCAAGAAACGTATTGTCCAATCCTCTGGTCACCAAAAGGTTGTTCTGGGCGATGTGTCGTGTTGACAAGTCGGAAGCATCCTCAATGATGATCTCTGAGGCGACTGCTTCTGCTTCGGCACTCTTTCCCAGGCACAGTAGCACATATAGCTGCTGGACAGTAATGGGAATCAGCTCGTCCCTCTTTTGCTGGTCTGTGAGGTCTTCCGAATGTCTGCAGAGCTCCTTCGCTCTCTTCAGGAGCATTTCCGCCTGTGTATATTCCTCTCTTGCGATGCTTCCGCAGGCGGCATTATATGCGGTCTCAAAGGCTTCCAGGTCCTCCCTTCCAGGCCTTCGTATTGATTTGACATCTGCAACTCCTATCCACTGAGCTTGGGCATCTATCGCGCCCTGGTTCACATGCAATTCGTAACCTTCCGACTCGTCGTGGGCGTTTCTGAGGCGCTGGTAAAGCTCAGATGTCGCCAACGAGTCTTCCAGTCGGTATCTTGCCTGCGCCTCGAGATGACTAGCACCTCTACTCTGTATCTCTGAAGAAATAGCAACGGCTTCCTTTAACCGTCCCGTCTTGTACAGCGCATATGCATACTCCAATTGGGCTGTCCTGCGCAAGGAGTCGCCTGCAGTCTCTGCGAATTGGACGGCCTCCTCGTATCGATCCAGTTTCAGGAGGGCGACAAGTTTGACATGTTGAGCTTCTGGATCCGACTTGGACGACTTGAGGGTCTTGTTGCACGCATCGAGGATTTGTTCGTGATCATCGAGAGTCGATTTCTTCAGAAGCGCCGACAGCGCGGAGGAAGAGGCGGTCATGCCGCTGTAATAAAGATCGCCAGTCTCTTTATATCACTGTGACATTGCAGATATAGATGTTGTGATCAAGGAGGGACGCTTCGACAGAAGTGTAGCAAACTGTAGTTACAACTTCGGTGATTGATGTGGAAAGGAAATGCAGCGTTGAAAAGATCGTGGGGCATGTGTGAATTTCCCCCACAAATTAATATAAATCCGGTTGCCCTCGTACTTCGTATCGCGAATTGCTGCTGTAGAAACCACAGGATCCGTCTTTACACGGTGTTTGGAGCACGCGACTGCACATCTATGTTAACGAGACTATGCAAATGTCTTTGTATGGCATAGACCCACGTACAAGAATCCTAATATCATCGCAATTGAATTCCTAGAGTTATGGCCTGACAGAATTCCCCGAGGGTGACATGGTTTCATGTCGTCGATCATTTAAATAAATATTGGCAAAGACTCAAATGCTCCTCGTCATCAAACCAACCGTCAACAGATCCTCATCCCATTCATACGTACATGTCGTGACACATTCTCTCCTGCATTTTGCTTGCTATTCGATGCCCTCGCTCCTTCGTCGCTTGTTTGCATTCACGAACAAATTTTTATGCCTTCCGCTCAATTCATTTCGATCTTCGTTTGTGCCACAACCACCACTTGCCGTTCACACCATGGATATCACACACGCCACATTCCCGCAGGAGCTTATCAAGATCATCCAGCACATTGCTGACAGCCGTTTCATAGCTTTCGACCTTGAGTTCTCTGGCGTGGCTGCCAGAAGACAGGGCGGAGGTAGTGGAAGGTTTACTCTACAAGAGTATTATCATGACCTGAGATCGGCTGCTCAAATCTATCAAATCTTACAGATAGGCTTGACCATTGTCAATGAGGATACAAAGAAAGGTAAGCTACCTGATCTAGAGCTACCGTCTTGTTGATTCGGCAGCATTCCATTCCCGGGCTCTCTGGCAAAGCATCAAGCCAAAGGATGGCACTACAACAGCACTCACATCCATGACACATTCATCATATTCAACACCTGCTGACACCTGTAGGTCGTTATGTTGCTCGACCATACAACTTTCACTTGAGTCCTCTGCCTGCAACCAGCGAGAACGTCTTCCGCAGAGTCTGGTCCTACAACAGTGGAGGTATGTTTAACCTCTGGTAAAGTCGATTGCATCGTTGACGTGGTTAGCAATATCATTCCTCTTACGCCATGGATTCAACATCGAACGACCTTTTTCGCAAGGTGTTCACTATCTTTCACGACAAGAAGAACATGAGGTACGCGATAAGCTCATAGCAGATGAAAAGTCTAAGGCAAATATGCCAAATATGGTCCTCAAGGACGAGGATTCCGTCTTGGTGGACCATATCAGACAGTCGATCAGCCAGTGGCAGTCACTCCCAAAAAAAACGCAAGAAAACTACCTCAATATCCCTGCGGCCGATGCTAAAGATCCGGTACCGTCGACACTCAATCGATACCAGGTTCGGTTGACACACCAGACAGTTAGAAACGAATGGCCCAAGTTCAAAACACAAGGCATGGGTCATTTTGTGCAGATCACCAATCCGACCGCCGACCAGCAGGAAAGCGAAAGAGCGCTCCGCGAGAAAATGCGTGAACGCGACATTGCCAACGCCGTTGGCTTTCGCTGGGTCATCGAAGCCATATTGGGTGGGGACATCTCAAGTCTACCGCATTTTTATGTCACGTCAGGCTTCCCGGAGGGACAGGCGCCAGACAACATCCAGGCCTTTCTTGATAAGCTGCAAGAGAGACTGAGGAAACGCAAAGGCGCACTTGTCGGACACAATTGTCTGACCGACCTCATCAATCTCTACAGATGCTTCATCGGCGACCTCCCTGAAAAGGTTGAGGATTTCAGTGCTAGACTGCACAGTTTGCTCCCAATTATCCTGGACACCAAGTATCTTGCTGGTATTGGGAGCAAGAAATGGGTCGACACTTCACTGCAGGCAGTGGAGAACGATATGAGTCCTGTAGCACTCCCTCGAATACACTTGCCGCCAGGGTATGATCGCTACCTGCATGCTGCGAACTACCACGAGGCTGGCTTTGACAGTTTTGTGACCGCGAAGATAGGCCTTAAGCTCCCCGGAAAGCTTAAGAGAGAAGGAAAGAGCCTCCCGGCACTTCCTCAAGGCCCAATTGCAACCGTCGAGGAGGAAGGGAGCCCCGAGCTCCGAAGTAATGAGCCAGATGCAGCAGTCCAGATTGAAAAGCCTGATCAAGGCTTAACGAAAGGCGTGGTCGACGTGCTCAAGGCTCCTTTGGCGATAGCAAGCTCGATTCTGACAGGGAATGATCCCGACAAAACCAATGACTCTAGTGCGAAAGATTCTGGCGGGGCAGCTACTATTGTAGCTTCAAAAGCGACGAGTTTGCCTCAGACCAGGCCAATGTCTGAAACTAAGAAGGTTGCATCCGCTTCTCAGAAGTCGAACATTTTCGATGTGCTCAGCGATCTACCGGCAGACACATCCATGGATGCGGAGGAGGCTGTGGCCCAGAAAGACGCCGCAGCACATGGCAGAATCGCCGAAATGGTCGAAAAGGGCGAGCTTCTACCTGGCTGGAACGACAATGCTGAATTCTGGAGGCTGATTAGCAATCGACTCCAGGCAAATGCGTGCGAGGATGGCATTCTAGACATGCTGAAACTGCAAAAGACATGACCTTGGCCGAGGTCGATGATACCACACTACAAGACTTAATCTTCTGTACTACATAGCATAGCAAAATACCCAGCAATGACGGAGCAACAGAGGAGGAGCTGCAATGTGAGCTCTGCGCCTCCTCACATACTCCGTACAGTATCCGTACTATGCACGACGTGTTGTTGCCGAGGTTCAAGCGAAATCCATCCAATTACCGAATGGACCTCAAACCCCAGACTCTCTCATCTGCCCGACATGACTGCGTCTTGAATTCATTCCTCGAACGTATTGTGCTTTTGTATCCTTCACTCGATCTGTCGTCCTCTTGCTCCACGATGTCCGTCGGTTCGGATTCGCAGTCAAGCTCGCAACATCTCTCGTCCTCGCAAGCGTCATTGAATCAGTCTAGCAAGCGCACGACATCCGAGATCTCCAAAATCTACAAGCATGCTTCGCAGCTATTCCTAACTCGACGTTTGCTAGAAGCATACGATGCTCTTCAGCCTATCGTCACGCCGCCTGGAAACAAGAGGCCAGATGACAGCCCTGCTCAAGCTCCGGTCGCGACCGCAACGACAAGTCAGCGCATCAAAATCTGGAGCTTGTACGTCACTCTACTGAACTCCATCGTGGACCTTGGCTACGAGGAGGGTGCGAATATATTTGGTCCCAAACCCTACAGCGACATCGTTCGGAATGTGAGGAATGGCAATATCTGGGATCAGGTCATCAAGGATGGCTATCAGGGACGAGAAGGTTCGGTGGATGCTGAAGTGGTCTACAATTTGTACAACCAAACCCCATCCATTCTCTAGACCTGCTGTTAGACGCACACAGACTGACGGTTCTTGCAGATCCAATCTTCTCCTCGGACAAGCGCCAGACCAGAAAACGAACCAAGCCCGACTCGAAACCTACCTTTCCTCATCGCAGAACGACCTCGATTTCTCGACCCACCTCAGCAATGCCCTCAGTAACGGCCGTCAACCAGGCATGAACGGCACAAACACGCCAAAGGATCTGGCGTCTCGGATCAAAGTGCTTGAGCTGTTCACGCTTCACGTACTGCCGCGGAACGAAGAGTGGGACTATGCCAAAAGTTTCATATCCAACAGCGATTTCTTGGACGAGGAGCGACGCGAGGCCTTCATGCAGACGTTACAGGAACTTCAGGAAGCGAGTGAAGGGCGCGACAACGTCGGAGAAGCAGAAGACGAAGAAGAAGACGAAGAGGTGTTTGAAGATACCGAGGAAGACGCACACTCACATGAAACAACCCCTCTCGAACAAAGCCAGCTGCGCGAGCAGACACAAGTACAGTCGAAACCAACGTCAAAGCACCAGAGGACGAGTAGTGAAGTCGATTACGGGATCGAGAAGGAGCACCCTAGTGGCACACACATTACTACTGCTAGCACCACGGCACAAGGAGGAAAACTACCAAAAGACGCGCCACCAATGACCAAGATCCCTCCCCAGCCGATGCCGTCCTCTTCGTCACCACCGCGACACCAACCTGCACCACCTGCAGCCTCTTCTGGCCGAAGTACAATGTCGCCTCCATCTTCACAGACACCCCGGCGCTCCACTCGGAAACCCAAGGCCACAAAGCAGAACGCCATGCTCGCGCAGGCCCGTCTACTGTTTTCCGCGCTCTCGAATCTTGCTCGCAACCTGGCCGGTACGATATCGAAAAACCCTACGAATATTCTGAGGATGTTGTTGTTCATATTGGCATTTATAATGGCATTCAGCCAGAGGCACATCAGGGAAAAGGCAAGGTCGTTGGCGAACACTAGCTGGAACAAGGTCAGAGCAACAATTGGCATGGGCACGAAAGTCAGTTATATCTAGGTTGCACGCACAAAGCACCGCGGCTCTGTCTATGTGTGTATCTTTGGAAGCAGCTTCTGGATGTATGTGTTACGACTGTTGGGAAGCGGGCCGCGTTTAGTCGTCGTCGTTTGTAGGCACAATGATATGGAATGCTTAAAAACCCAGTTACTTAGGCAAAGTATGCCGAAAGGAACAAACAAAATTTCACATGCCGCAAAAGGCAATGGGGTCTTGGTATCCTGGGACTTAGGTCAACTTCTGTGTGTTTTCATTCTTCATAGAAGCCAGTACCATGATGAAGAAAATCCCGGTCTCATTAATCTTTTCAACGCAAAGCCATACGTCAACTCCTGCCTTTTGGTTTTGGTCTCATTGAGCAAAACCAGTTTGTGCACACCTCGAAACCACCCTCTGTGAAAATCCGCCTCGTACGTTCTGCCATAACCCTAACGATGATACATTTTGAAGCCTCACTGAGACACCAGAAAATCCGACTGCTACTTGCTGCCCACCTCGCCAATCTGTTGAACTCCAATCTTCACGTTGGCCTTGCCCAATCTGTCGAGGTAGTCGTCTCCCAAGCAAGACGGGGTCAGGAAACCGGCGCCGTGGGACTTTTTGATTTCTTCTTCCTTGTTCAACAACACCATCGCGGCTTCGGCCAGGAGGATCGCCGTAAGTTGGTACAAGCCGCCTTCGAATCGGAACGTGGCGAGCGCCTTTCGCGGCTGCTTGGCCAGCTGTTCGGCGACTGCGACGGCACGCAATTCCAACGCATCTCCCTTGGTGGACTCCTCGGTCGGACCGGAACCTGGCTTATACTTTGCAAACATCTTCATGATGGCGCGAGTGGGGGGGAATGCAAGGAACAAGGTCAACAGAACGAGGGCGAAGTGAATGAGCACGCCGACGACGGGGCTTCCGACAGCCATGTACTCTTCGTAGCTGAAATTAAAGCCGTAGAAGTACGGCGTCAAGCCGGCAGAGCGGTGGACAATGGCTTCGTTGGGTTTGGCCGAGAGGGAGGTGACCAGGTTGCCTAGGCGAGGGTAGGACCACACGCCGGTCAGCTTCTGCATCCCCGTGCGGATGTATGTGTTGGGTTCCGGGTTCGGCGGGTACAACGTGTCCTTGGTGTACGGCTTCAGGCGAGCGGGGGACAGGCAGAATGGATCCATGCATTCCTTCAACGCCTTGCCAGAGTAGTGATCCATCAGACCTAGGCCGGTCGCGAGAGTGCCGCCACTGGGGCCGGACGACTTCAGCTCGTGAACAGAAGCGACGACGTCCATTACACCACAATCCCATACTTTGCGGATCAGGCGAGTGGCGATGTAGGCAACCAAGTCTGAAGGCGCGGACTCAACACCACTCTCGGGGATGATGATGGCACCGCTCTTCTTTGCGGCAGCCTCGTACTTGGTGATAATCTCTCGAACCCACGGAGTCTCTCCGGTGACGTCGACGTAGTGGGTGCCCGTCTGAGCACATGCCTCGACCACGGGAGTCGAGTAAAGATGATAAGGGCCGACGGTGTTGAGGAGGACTCTGGTTTTCTTGGCAAGCGCGGTCATTTCAGGGGCGGTGAGATTGGCGACGGGGACAACATCAGGTGCACTACGCGTCGAATTGATCGACTTCAATTCCTTGACCAGAGATTGAAGTTTGGATTGGTTGCGACCGGCAACGGCCCATTTGATGCTGGTCGGCAGGCTGGACGTGATGTATTCGGCGGTCAACTTGCCCGTGTAGCCCGTCGCGCCCAGGAGGATAATGTCGTATTGGCGTTTGGCAGCCATTATGTGTGCGGGAAGAAAAAGCTGCCTATCGACACTGGTAGACGAGCACACGAAAAGTCTAGGGGGAAGATGGAAAGAGAATGAAAATGGACGAGGAAGACACCACGCTGGAGTGAATGACGAAGGGAAATGGTGTTCGTTTTTTTGGGATGAAAACCAGCAAACGCGGAGCTGAAGGTAGACGAGACAAGACCACAAGCCTCATGGCCCCAGGGACTTGCCATCGTTTTACCGTGGCACTCAATTGCACTAGTCAAGGGCAAAGTAAGACGCGGAGGGAAGTGGGCGCAGGCTAACCACAGGATTTGACGGACGAGTAGATTATTTTTGGTACCAATATCCGTACAGTAGGACTCTCATCAGCACTCTTTTACACCTTTCGAATCTCTCAGGGGGTCTTTACACCGTACAAACAAGCCCAAATTGAAATTCAGGAGTCGGCATCCCACCGAGTCAAGACCAGTGGCATGATGTGTGGCTTGACTCTAGTAGCAGCAGAGAGGGTCATATTGCTGTTCACACAACACAGAGTACGACTTTCGAATTTCATCTTCCGGAGCCCTTCCAAGCACTACCCACGTAAATAATACTCGTAAAACAACCCCCTAAACCTCCTGTTCGAGTTGGGCCTCCCGCGACTACGGACGCGTGCCATGCATCGGTGGATCGAGCAGGGATGACCTAATCATAGATAACCTGAGATGCCATGCCCAACTAGTGTTCACGTGATCAGTGCTGGTCGCACAATTATCCGCCAAGACACTAGCCGTCTTCCCCTTCCACACTTTTGAGATTTCCTAGCAAACTGCGCTCGTTTACTTTCGATTGAGACGAAGATAACATCTACCATCCTCCAGCAACACTTCGTCTACATCCGCCAAAATGACGAAGCGCACAAAGAGTCAGGTCCCAAATCTACCTAACCCACAAGAACGGTAACTGACTGTGTCTGCAGAGGTCGGCGTGACCGGCAAGTACGGTACTCGATACGGTGCATCCCTCCGAAAACAAGTCAAGAAGATGGAAATCACCCAACATTCCCGATACATCTGCACCTTCTGCGGGAAGAACGCAGTCAAGAGACACTCGGTCGGAATCTGGCAATGCAAGAGCTGCAAGAAGACTATCGCTGGAGGCGCATGGACTGTTTCGTAAGTTTTTGAAGGCCGTGTTGAGATCTTCGCACCACATACGGGCTTGTCTGACTCTTTTCTTTCCCCGATTCTCCAGTACTCCCGCTGCCGCCGCTACGAGGTCGACCATCAGACGATTGAGAGAAATCGCGGAGGTGTAAAAGCATTTTAGAAGTATGGGCACGGAACGGTTTCTTTGTCGAACACGCGGGGTTTTTATCATCTGAAATAGCACGAGCAGAATCACAGAAAGATTCGCATGAAAAGCGGTCACCCTCTGAAACAGGACAATCAGCTTCGCCTCGTCGAAAGCCGTCATTGTCAATGGCCGATCCGAAATCGATAGACCTCAATCGAATCATCGAATGAAGTTCCGCCATTCCCTGCGTCTTCCATTCCTCTCCTCTCCTGTTTTCTAGTCATGAATCCATATGCCATCGAGTCTATACCGACAGGCGCTCTCTTGTGAGATTGACCTGTGCACGCCGAATGGTCGGTCTCTTTAAGGATCCTTCGGTCGAGTCGGCCACGCGTTTTGATTTTCATGTTCGTGCCTGATGCGACAGCATTTGCGTTCATGCTGGCTGTTTTTAACTTTCTTTCCAGCATGTTGTCCACTTGCAGGCTTAGGCAGCTGGAAATTTTCGGCTACTGATTGGGTTACACATTCACCGCCATTTCAATCACAAATACTCCAGTTCTCATAGCCGCTTTTGTTGTGATGTGGTAAGAAGTGACATTTTACGGGACGGGAAAAGGTTTGTTCCTGAGATCCTTTTGACTACATCTCTGGCCTGGTTGCGAGCGAGATTTAGGCGGAAGCAGAGTCGCAGCCCTCCAGGATCATTTGGCAGGACCAAGCAAACCTGTCCAATTGGCCATCACCATCCATCTGGTCATGTTCCACGCAAGCCATAGGCAGCATCGAATCACGTGAAGACGGAGGGGGAACCTGGACTCGGTTCAGTTTCCCCGTTTCGACTTATTCTTAAACCGCCTTTTGGGGTGCATCCACTTTCCATCTTCTCTTTCCACCGAGCATCATCAACGCTAGCGAATCGCTGTTAGTTGTCCCCATGAGCCTCTCACTGCCTGCACTGCGCTCAAAATCACCCGACAAATTCTCCTGAATGTCAGATACTTGTATAGTCTGTCTGGGAGACTTGAGCAAAGATAATGGAGATGCCGCTGCACTTCCAACCGTCGTTGCCAAGTCTCCACAGCAGGGTGCTGCCGCCACAGTCTCGAAGACGGCCGAGGATGCACGACACAACACGACCCTTCGTGACTCGACTGAAGATAATTCAGATGAGTTAATCGCTCATCTAAGACCCTGCGGTCATTATCTTCACAATGAATGTCTGACGCCGTGGGTGGAAAGGGCCAATAGCTGTCCGATTTGCCGCGCAAGTTTCAATCTGGTCGAACTGATGCACAAAGTTGAAGGTCGGTGAAGAATGCCCCCCCTGTTGTTCTAGCACCGTCCACTGACCCATTATTAGGCCATGTCATCTCCTCCTATCCTGTTGAAGATCGCACCCAAGTCGCCGAATTGGATCCGTCCATGTTCCTCGAGATCCCCGACGAAGACGACGAGGATCAAGCCTGCCAGGCTTGCGGTGAAGACGACAACGAAGATGTGCTCATGTACTGTGATGGTTGTCAAAAGTTGTGGCATACATATTGTGTCGATCTACAAGAGGTGCCTTATGGCCACTGGTTCTGTGATAATTGTCGAGCGCAACGCGACGTCGACCCGCGGCAGCAGGGCCTTCCTCGAGCAGGCAGGGCTAGCCGTCGCCGTACTCGTGGTCAGCAGCGTAGGCAACGCGGCAACGAGTCAAGCTGGAATCAAGTGTGGCAGACAGTATGGTCACGCATCAACCTCGACCTGGATTTTCCCTATGAGGAGGACGAGTCATCGGCAACATATCTGAGACGACACCGCCAACATAGCCAGGCCAATCGACAGGCTCATGACGCCTGGCGACGCCGTATGCAGGTTGCCGAACTTCAAGGTGCTGGGAACCGCTTCAGGGAGATGGAGCCTACTCTCCCCAGTAGCCCCGGTGGAGAGTCAACGCCACGAATTCGGCGAATTGGCACGTCACCGCGCCCGCCGGTGGAAACCCCAGAAGAGCTTATGGCATGGCATGCTTTTGAGCAAGCTCAAGCGTCTCCCAGTGAGTCTGGCTCGGCGAGGAAGAGGAAGAGAAAGTCTCGGTCAGGTTCCCCGAGAGACTCCGAAGATAGTGCTGCCCCAGCCGTCAAGCGGCGCCGACCAAGCGCATCTACACGGACTGTCTCAGAGCCTGGAGCCTCTGCAACCCGCAGAACCCGGTCGCGCGAGCCTATACGACTGGCAGATCCTATCCCTCCGAGACAGCCTATTATGGATCCAGCTGCGCCCAGTTTCCTGCAATCCCTTCTGCAGGAGGTAGAAGACTCTGGCACGAGCTCACACAACGTCCACCTTCATCGTCCTTCACCTCGTCCTGCAGCGTCTCCTCCTGCTGAGCAAAATTCTCCACGGCCTTCCTCACCAGCCCTGTCGCCCATGCCCTCGAACCATTCCTCACCACGAGCTACATCCGCCACTCCTCCACCTCCCACCAGTCTCCGACCTAGTTCGCCGACTGGATTGACGTCGCGTATACAGCCCATTTTCCCTTCAACAGACTATTCTCCCTTGCGTTCAAATTCTCCTGAACCAACTAACCCAAAGTCCGAAATTCACAATCATCGCCAACCAGGGGGAGCAAAGGCACCTCCCACAGCCGGCCCGATTTTGGCCCAGCCGAGACCAAGAGCTCGTGTACCACGTATACTGGAGTCGTCTTCGACATCAAAGCCGCAGGCTCGATCTACAGAAACTTCTCCCACCCGAGCGGCCATGTCTCTCTCCGCCAAAGAAGACGTGCAGAAGCTCGTGGCCACGGCTCTGAAGCCACACTACCACGATCAGACCATTACCAAAGACGAGTACACCGTTATAAACCGCGACATATCTCGGATGTTGTACGATAGAATTGGAGACTTTGAGGCTCTGGATGTCGATGGAAAGGCGAAGTGGGAGAAAGTTGCGGGCGACGAGGTCGACAAAGCTGTGAGCGCCCTGAAAGCTCCTGGGTGAACAACCTCCTTACTTGCACCTGATGTTTGGTTTGAGCACTGTTACTGCTTTTTTCTTTCTCTCTTTATGACGAAGGTTACGAATTTACGACACGAATAACGGCGTTTTTGGCAAAGGCATCAGGGCTTGCATTTTGATGGATTAGGGATGAGACTTTGTACAATGGACAATCAACGACGGGAAGCTGATCAGTCAGTGGCTTTCGATATTGGGGAGAGAGAGAGAGAGAGAGAGAGAGAGAGAAAGACTTCACGGTCAATCGAGTGGTCGTCATTTCGAGGATCCTCGTAGGGTCACTACGAAGTACTACTAATAAATTTGGAGTATAGCAAGCCACCGTGTATAAATATTTGATGGGCCTACGGATGTACATGCCCTGGACTCTTGCTCGGCTTGATAAATAAAACCATGTCTTATGTGTGTGTGTGTGTGTGTGTGTGTTTGCTTGTTGTCTGTATATTTAAACTCACGTTTCATCATGACGGGATGGACGATGATGGGGCTGGTGAGATCTGCTACGTAGAATGACGACCTTCCGCGAGACACGTCTTTTTATATAGAGGTTACCTGGTCGTGCGGTAAGATATCATGTTGTCGACTTTGACATGGACTTTCCGGGGCAAGACTGGACGTCCAAGATTGACTTTGCCGATATCAAATCTTTTTTTTTTGGGAGGGGGGCAAGAAGGGTGAAAAAAGCCGCCGGCGATGATTTGCCCAAACCCCCCCCTCCCCAACCCAACTTGATTGATTTATTTCTTTATAGACGGTGAGAATAGAAGGATTTGGCCAATTGTCCACATACTCCGTACTCAGAATAAAACAATTCAGGCGGCGGCGGCGGCGGTCGGTGGTCGGTGGTGGTGAAGGGGAGGTGGGTTTCATCCGAGCTACCGAGCACCACAAGTTACCCTTTTTGTTATTCCATGATCAGCCCAAAACCACCAAACTCTACAGTGCAAAGGTCAAAGACCTCTTTTTTTTTGCTTTCTTGGTTTTCTGTGTTTTCTTGAGAAATGGAAAGAGAAAAAAAAAACTGTAAAGTGAATCGCAACTCGCCCATCATTACAACTTTCTATTCTATACTCTTGATAAAAACAAAAATCAAAAAGAGCGCCTTGGAATTTCGTCGCGAAACAAGGTCGACCGACCGACGAAACGGCTCCTGCTCGAACCATTTATCGCGGGGAGAAGTCGACCTCCGCCGGGGGGAGGGAGGAGGTAGGTTTATGTTGTGACTTTAGGTGGTGACCTTGATGATTCGAGTCTAACAAATAGCCCCCCCCAGCGATAACCACGTCTGTAGGTGTGTTGAAAACCCTATACGAATACTATGGTGTCGCCACCTTTTCCAAACGCCAGCTGTTGGTTGGTCATGGACGGACCTGCTTTCCCACCTGACCTGACCTGACCTTTTTCCATGGCCTGCTCAGGAGAAGAATGACGAAAAAGTCGCTGAAACGCTCAATAGACAAAAAACAACAAGAAACCCCCAGCACCAGGCCGATTTATGAATGCTCGTCTGGATTTTTGGACGGGCACACGGGTTCCTGGACGGGCTTGTGAATGCGCAAGCACCACAAGAGGCAGTCCTCCAGGGGCAAAAAATTCAGCATGGCCTCGTTGTACCTATACGCCAGGAGACAAATGGTGCCTCCCGCGACTGCGTCCATGATGAAGTGGTTCGCGGTCGCCACGATGACCGTCAGGATCATGGCCGGGTAGGAAAACCCGACAATCTGACACGCCAGTTTGGCCAGAGATGGTACCCTGATGCTGGCGGAGACGGTCTCGAAGCCGAATTTCGAGAAAAACGGGACGGGGATCGAGACGCGGTAACAACGGCCTGGGTGAGCAATGGGGAGTTGCATGATGGAGAGGCCTATGAGTAAGGAGTAGCCAAAGTGGAGGGATGGCATCGCCGCTGGCTTGGATGTTAGCAATTTCCTCCCCCCCCAGACGCGCACCATGGTACCAGGCATGACGTACCTAATTGGTTTGTAAATCGCCTTGTGTTACTGATGAAGAAGCGTCAATAAACTCTGCACAAATCGGCACGCAAAGGGGACCCTTTTGCGAGAGATGATCATGGGATGCACTCACAACACCGAGACAGCTCCGTCCCGCCCGTGGACCGTGTCGACAAAACCAAAGCTTCGAGCATGCTCGGCATCTCCAGGTGTTTTGGAATCACCCAACAGTCGAGGCGGCATGCAGGGCCAAGTTGAGAATACACAAAAGGCAAGAAGATTGCAGATCTAACCCACAAAATTAGTAAGTCGGCGCAACATCACGCTTGGAATCACTAACGGCAAGGCTTCTGCGTTTGGATTCGTAGAGGTAAGGTCCTGACGCGGGTTGCCGCCATCTCGCGAGGGTCCGGTTGCGGGTGATGGCGAACCAATACAGCCCGACCAAGAAGGTGACGGTCGCAGGGAGATGGACATAAGAATAGATTCGGTTGACCCAGTACATTACCCCGGGGTACTGAAGGAAGAAGCGCTGGATGGCCGGTTCCCAAAAGATGTGGAGCCTCTCCTCCAGTCGGATGACTTGCAAGGCGTGGTGACAGGCCACGTCGACCGTCGAGTCACGCAGCCTTTCGGCGAGCATGGCCCTGCCCATCTGGTAAACACTATAGATGAGACCCCAGTACACGATCTCGATGAGAAACGGGAAGCGGAGAAGAAATCTGCTGAGGAGGCGACCCTGAAAGACGGCAGTGTTGGGAGTATTGATGACCTTGCGGAACCCAAAGGCCGAGATCTCTCGCTGGCGCCATCTGTCTTGACGGTTCCAAGCTAGCGGTTCGATCTTGGTCACGGGATTTTCGGATGATCGTTCAGTATCATCTAAATGAGGCTCGTGGTGGGTGTACGCATACCGGTCAACAGGGGTGGTGAAGTCTCGATTGATCCAAGCGCCAAGGAAGATGATGAAGGTGCCCAGGGAAGGCTCTCCGAGACCAAGGAAACCCATGTCTCCGGAAGAGTTTATCGAAATTCTTCCTTCGAATCGATTTACTCTTGACGCTGCATGGGAAGAAGAAGCTGGCAGTGGTCGGTTGATGCTGGGGTAGGACGAATGCCGGCTGTTATCTGAGACACTGTGGCCCGGAAGAGAGAGAGAGAGAGAGAGGCCGGGGGTTGAGAGTGGTGACGGGTAAGACCAGATGAGAAATTGATGAAGGAGAAGGGGGAAAAGGAACGTGTGTGCGTGTAAGCCAGAGGGAACAAGTAACAAGAGAAGGGAAAAGGGAATACGAGATGACGAAACACGACTGAAAATGGGAGACGAGAGCGAGAGAAAGAACAAGTCATCATCAACGAGACAAGGCTGACTCGAAAAGTCATCCATACCTTGAACTTGGAAGCGCCTTCCTGCCTCCAGTGTCTGTTACGAGTACCAGACGAGTACGGGGGTAACTGGGTACGGCAGGTATAATCCAGCAGGCAGCACTGGGGGACCTGATCGTCATTCTCGGTTTCCAAAAGATGGTTCTTCCTCGGGGGGATCTCATGGATCTCACCTACTCCGTACTAGAATAGCCCATCAGCAATGTTGCAAAGGTTGCAGAACAGGGTTAGAACTTCCCGTCGATGGTTCAAACCAACAGAAAATCTCTATCATTCAGTACCTCGCCAAACGCAAGCAAGCGAACTTGGGGGCTACTCGTACTTGTGCCACCCAAGCCAAAAACCTCCACAATTGCCTCAGGCTCTGGACAAGGACAACGATTGCCAACAGGACGTTGGTTTCGTCGTGTGATTAGTTTCCGCATCCTTTCGCATCCTTTTGCAGATCGTAACCCCGTAACAGGGGATGGGGCCATGATGGACATGATCCGGGCGAAACCGACTGGGAGAGACTCGATGATGGATTTTCACAAAGGCCATACATGACTGGGTACGAGTACATGCTCCGGTCAAGTAGTAAGCACGGAATCTCAAGTCTCCGAAAAGAAAACGACAGCCAAGGGCCTTACACTGAAAGGGACTTTTCATGTGAGCATGTGAGCCATTGCCATTTGCACAAGCTCAAGGACGCCGGGGATCACCAGCCTCTGTACAACTTTGCAAGCATAATAATATCCGGGCTCCGAGCTGGTAACTTGGGCCAGAGTACGGAGTACACCACGATCCTCACCTCGATAGTCCTCCTTGCGAATCCTGTGCTTCCTCCAGGCCCCCCTTTTGCTTGGAGATACTCCGTACGGTGTTTGAATTTGTTGAGATCTCTTGTGGAGGAACCGAAGAGCGCTGTGTCTGTTAGAGAAAACCCTTGAAAGGATGCGGTTTGGTTGGCGAGATTGGATGGCGCGCGTACTTGTATCTCGTACGCGTATCGAATAAGGAGAGCCGGAGAGGTTCCTGTGAAAAGTGTACGAGTACGTTACGACGTTGTTATGGAGTCTTTCTCTCCTTCCTTGCCTAGGTAATAACCTGGGGGCGCTGACAGCGACTGGCGGGCCTGATGATCTGGGCAATTTCTCAGGTACAGTCATCGATTCGTAATAATGCCGGGAGGTAGTTGTACGGAGTCGGGGCTAGATTTGAGGCTGTGGGAGGCTCTGGGCGGAAACGATGCCCGGGGACGCGGTTTCTCTGAAACGTAGCCGCAGTTTCCGGCCCCCCTTTTAGGCCATTTCAGGTGAAGCGTGGGATCTTTTTAGTTGAGGCTCAGCGGCGAGGAGACAATGCTATTTCAAACGCCGATTCTCGCTGAAATTGCATTCCAAGGTTATTTCAACATGTCTCCCGAGCAGCACATCCCAAACATGCCTCCGACGATTTAATTTTATTCTGTTCCACGAATATCCAATATACACAAATAGAAGTCACCTTTCATCCATTGCTTGTTTTCGTTTCATTCAAACTATTATGCAGTTCAATTTTGCCGTCATCACGAACTGTCAAATTCGAGATCGACATTTCAGGTGATGCTCGAATCGAGATATCTCAACCATCATCCCCCATGTATTAAAACCTTTCTTTCTGGAAGACAGTCTACTGTTGTTGCAGGTCATCTCGGCTCAGATTTGTAACTTTGTTTCAAACATATTCTTCCTGTTGAGCCCCCTTGTTGCTTTCCCCGGCAAGATCGTTTCGTTCCGTCTCACCGCTATAAATACCTCGTTCTTCTGTCACCGGGGCGTCCGCCGTACCTGCCTCTCTCTGAATCCTGGCCATCTCAGCAGCCGGCGGCGGGACCCATTTGGCACTCTTTCTCGGGGGAACGTGCTCCAGATACATCGTGTCGATTTCCTCGAGCGTACGACCTTGCCCTTCGATGACGAAGAAGTAGACCAGGATACCTGCGGTGACGTTACAGGCTGCAAAGACATAGCCATACCTGAAATCGATGGCGCCCGTGATGAACGGGGTGAAAAAAGCAATCAGGAAGTTCCAAGTCCAATTGCTGGCGGTCGCAATTGACATGGCCTTGGCCCGGTACTTGGACGGGTAGATTTCTGCTTGAATCGTCCAAACCATGGGTCCCCAGGTCCTGCGTGAGATGTGTCAGCAAAGAGAAAGGCCCAAAGTCAGCAGCTGCGTCGAGCCTCCTGGCTCCAAGGCTAAAACCAAAGACGGAAAAGAACTTACGTGGCATAACCCAGGATGAAAAGACACGCAAAGACGATGAGGGCCACTCCGGCCTGAGGAGTGTTGGCCGGTTCATCGATATCCAGAACAAAGTGTCCCACGGAAGCAAAGATCATGAAGCACACGAACATCCACATACTCCCCGCAATGAGTGACTTTCTCCGGCCGTAATGCTCGACAAGGTACAATCCGATGAAGGTGACTCCCCAGTTGATGCCGTTCAAGATCATCTGCGTCACGAACGAGCTGATTTGCACCGACTGGAAGATGGTGGTGCCGTAGTAGAAGAAGTAATTGGCTCCCGTCAGTTGCTGGAACATCTGGAGGCCCATGCCCAACAAGATTCTGTACCCCATGCGAGGTGCCCTGCACATGCCGACGAATTCGCTGACAGGGTTGCCCTTGGTCTGCACTTCGGCACGAAGTTTGTTTTCAATCTCCTCCATCTGCACGTGGATGCTGTAATGATGTGCAGGGGCACCGTAGACCTTCATCAACGTCTCCTTGGCACGCTCCGTCTGTCCCTTGCGGTAGTCATATCGAGGCGTTTCCGGGAAGAAGAGAATGCCGACACCAAGCATGATGGTCCAAAGCCAGCCGAGTCCAATGACGATGCGCCACGAGCCGGAATTCGACTTTTGATGGGTGTACGTGCCATAGTTGAAGCAGGCGGCCAGGAAGATGCCCAGCGTGATAAACAGCTGATATGTGCAAACCAGGGCTCCTCGAATCCACGGTGGGGATGTCTCGGCCTGATACATTGGGACGAGCAAACTCAGAGCACCAACCCCAAAACCGGCGACGAGACGGCCGACCATGACCTCAACCCAGCTGGTATTGGCAGCAATCTGGATCACAAAACCGACAGCGACGACGAGGCACCAGACGGAAATGGACATCCGACGGCCGATGCGGTCAGCGATGGGAGCTGCCACCAAGGCGCCAATCAACGTGCCAATCGACAACTGCAGGAGGCGGCTGTTAGGGATGTTGAGTGTTCTGGTATGGAGAGAGGTGCCGACCTACCAGAGCGACAATCAGACCAGATCTGACGTTGCTGAAATACGGTGTTCCATCAGGCTTGCGCTGCCCGAAACGATCGAGGAAATCGGGCATCTCAAGCTGCACACACGGTCAACAACATTGTCTCATCAGTGAAAAATGGAAATAAACTTACAAAACCTGAAATTTGACCAGTGTCGTAACCGAAGCTGAATAATGCAGACGTTAGCAACGAATGTTCCAGGTGCTGGATTCTGACTCCAAGGACTGTTTGTTGCCTTACATCAAACCGCCCATCGACACGAGGACGCCCATGACGAAAGACCTCCATGTCAGGCGGCGAAGGGGGGAATAGTCCAGCGACGCAAGTGATGCTCTGGTGTCTGTTCCCTTTTCTGAGTTGGGGTTGTACTGATCAAAGTTGACCGTCATGAAGGATGTCTGGGGAGCCATGGTCGGTTGATGACGGCCGTCGAGAGAACGAAAGGCCCAAATCAAGAGTCACTCTACGAGTCAAGGGACAAGTACGGGGGACGAGTACGGGGGACGAGTACCGGGGGCGAGTACGGGGGACGAGCAGAGCAACGTGTCTCTGAATGAAGGGCAGGATGATATTTGAATGCTTCGTTAGACACGGGAAGTGTAGCAAGCAGAGAGGGACCCAAAAACTGGAATGACGCACGTCCACACCATAAACTCCTACGTCACGGACCACGAGGCGAGAAGCGAGGGACTCTACCTACGGAGTACCTAATGGTATATTCCGTGACTAGTTTTAGAAACCACATACAAAACACACAAATCGCCGGCTTCTAGCGCGATCGAGCCGCAAATCGAGCCGCCAGAATACATAAATCAACCACCCTTCTCGACTTGTGCAAAGATGCGAAGTCCCGGATTCTGGGTCAGGTATGGGCCCTTTTGAAGTCGCAGTTGCAACGTTACCTCTTCTTGCACAAAAGAGAAGTATGGGTCTAGACCTTCAGAAGTCCATTGGGGCTCTTTTCTTCACATCATACCATACACGCTTGCTTTCTCAGTCTTTCTGTCCGGGAGGGGGGGGAGAAATTCAAAGGGAAAGCCACGTGCTGTGAGGCTGAAAAACCTGAAAGTGCGAAATCAATAACTTCGATCTTACTCTGTACGGGGTATGTAATTATCGCGATTTAAGCGATGAAACTCGGTAGCTAGTGAGTCTAGTACTCGGCTCCAGAGCAAATTATGATTGAACCCAAGGAATTTTAGTGAGCTTCAATGCTTTTTAGTGGTCTTTGCTGTGTACAGTACTTGGGTTGTAGCTACTCGGCATTTTCGGCCAGTCAAAGAACTCATGATTGGCCAATCCACGCGGGTCGAGCTTCTGCCATCTACGACATCAATGACCTCATGCTTGTCTTGGCCGTGTGTGTGTTGAACTTGTTTCCGAAGTTCGTTTCTTCGTTGCGAGTAATGGATAATCCAAAGTACGCTTGTTACGATGAGCACTGACGAGTCGTAATGACTAGGAGCTGTGAACCCCATGGGTGTAGCTTCCTTGCCTGCCCACTTCCCCGTCATGTCTTGGACCTTGTGTGGAATGTGCCCCCCTGTACAAATGTCCCGCGTGAAATCAAGCAACCGTCCGAAAAAAAGACACCGTCCGGACTAGAGAGGGTGACGTGGAGTAGACATCTCAAATACATGTTTGAAATATCCCGGGGTAGAAAATTCAGACACGTGCGCAGCGAGGCCGAAGACTTCACGTCGAACAGAAGTTAACCACTCCCCCGGGGACACCACATACCCCATCCAGAGTAGTCGAGGTGGTTGGGCAACCGTAGGTGCTTGTAACGGACAGAGACGACTTGAGGTTGATGAAATGATGCCGAGAGAGAAAAAAAAACCCCCAACGGGCACCAGATATGTCGCACCCAAGAGATACCTATGGATGACGGGGGAACCCCAAATGGCAAGCGACAAATTGGGCAGGTGGTGTTTTTTGAGATACCGCTGCTTTACTTGGGGTGGACAAACTCTGCACCCAGGCGTCAGGTCCCTACTCTGCGTGGTGATTGGAGGCTACGGCCTAAGCGCAGTGGCCGCCGGCCATTGCCCGTCTGATGGGCAAAACAAGCAAAGCTGCAGGGAAAAAGGAGTAGTCAGCCGCGGCTTTGAATGGTAACCAAAAAGGAGACAATACGCAGTGACTGGTCTTGGATGGTCACCGAGGATTCAAATTCGGGGACCTCGTGTAGCTTATGCATAAGCAACGCAAAAGTGACATCGATGAAGGGCGCGCGGCGCGGAAAACACATATAAGGGGCTGACTTGTGTGCACCATGAAATAGAGATTACCTCCAAGGTAGGTATTGAGCTCCAAGTCGAAAAGAGAGACATTCTATCATTGAGAATCACACACACACACACACACACACACACACACACACACACGATGCCCACCGGACAGTGTATTTGCGGTCAAATCAAGTACGAGTACTCAGGTGACCCAGTCATGAAGGTAAGAGAGAGAGACAGAGACATATCAGTATGGTGGTTTTGGCTAATCATCATTGTATGGAGTAGGCCATCTGCCATTGCTCGACATGTCGCCACGTCAGTGGAAGTGTATTCACAACAAACGTCCTTGTCCCAGAAGACAAGTTCAAGATCATTTCTGGAAAGAAGCCAGCGACGTATGCCACGATTCAGGACAGCGGCATGACTTTGACGTACTCCTTCTGTGGAAATTGTGGCTGCAACCTCTTCAAGCTCGGAAGTGGAGATGCCTTCAAGGGAGTCGTTCTCATTCAAGCAGGGTCGCTCGATGACCCGGAAGAGGTTGAGAGGGCTGAACCGCAGGCAGAGCTTTACGTCTCCAAGCGGGTGAAGTGGTTGCCGACTCTGGCTGGCAAGGACCAGGTGTTGGAGTTTCCAGGGTAAAAAGCAAGCAACGGAGATCCTTTTCGCCGCAGCGAAGCTCTTTGGAGGGATCATGCATTATAATTACTTACCTACTAGCAAATCGAGTGATTGCGGTTTGACAGTATCATTTGACTTGAGAAGAGGGAGTGGCCGTGGTAGAGTTATGTATGGGCCTTATTAGTGATTATGCTTATAGCATCAAATCAGACATGATGAGATAAAACGATATATGGCCTTCATTTTCGAGTTCCCTAGATGTATGTGAAGCCGACCAAGAGTCCGTTTCGTGGAAAGTGGTACTCGAGGGCTTTGTCAAAGTAGATAGATGTCGAGAGAGTCTCACTATGTATGCTCCCCTCTTCCTCGGCCAACCTTCCCCATCTGTAACTCCGATGAGCCGAAGCGCGGAATTGCGTCAGAAACTCGAGTTTCCTCGTGCATCTCCGCAGGCTGAAGCGGCGAACGGCAGTTCGACAGCAAGAGGAATCTCGACTTCTCTTCACTGACCTCAACACGTACTCGGCGGCCCTTCTTAACAAGCTGAGGTTCTGGTCTTTGTGCGATAGCAATGTGCACATCATGGACGAACGCACTCCACTTATCTCGACCGTCCGCGTAGAGCGGAGGACCGGGCAATACCACCACACCATCGTCCGCCGCTTCTGTACCGTCGCCTTATCCAGCGTTCTTGTTGCTATTATAATATGCTTCCTCCTGCCCGTTGCGATTCTCCCACGAGGTCACGATCCTCTCTCTGCATATTTCCCTTGGTCTCACCACTTACCGAAAGCATGGCCCCAGAGCACGGGAATCACATACAACGAACTTCAAGAGCTGCTCTTGAGCACCCCGGACGAGGATAAGGTCCGTTCATGGAGCGAGTACTACACTGCCGGTCCACATCTCGCAGGGAAGAACCTGAGCCAGGCCATTTGGACACGAGAGAGATGGGAAGAGTTTGGAGTCAAGTCGGACATTATCGCCTACGACGTCTATATCAATTACCCCGTCTCGCATCGGCTGGCGTTGCTGAAAGACGACAAGGTGAAGTACGAGTGTAGCTTGGAGGAGGATATCCTCGATGAAGACCCGAGCACGGCCTTGCAAGACCGTATACCGACCTTCCATGGCTACTCCGCTAGTGGCAATGTCACCGCCCCGTACGTCTATGTCAACTTCGGCACGTACCAAGATTTCGAAGATTTACTGGCTGCAAACATCAGCCTGTCTGGAAAGATTGCGCTGGCGAAATATGGAAAGGTGTTTCGCGGTCTCAAAGTCAAGCGGGCACAAGAGTTGGGCATGATTGGAATCGTCATCTACTCCGATCCACAAGAAGATGGCGAGATCACGGAAGAGAATGGCTACAAGCCATATCCCGAAGGTCCAGCCAGGAATCCAAGCAGTGTCCAGCGAGGCAGTACGCAGTTCCTGAGTACGTTGAGCAGACTTCGATACTGACGTTAGACTAACAGGCGTCGCAGGCACTCTTCCAGGAGACCCTACCACGCCCGGGTACCCTTCAAAGCCAGGGGTGCCTCGGCTCGATCCCGGGGGATCCACTCCCAAGATACCGTCACTACCCATATCCTACGCCGATGCCCTTCCTCTCTTGAAGGCTCTCAACGGACACGGTCCTAACGCAAGCTCGTTCAGCGATGACTGGCAGGGTGGTGGATTGGGATATAAAGGAGTCGAGTACTATATTGGACCGTCACCAAGTGACATGACTCTGAACCTGGTCAACGAACAAGAATATGTTACCACACCACTCTGGAACGTGATAGGCGTGATCAACGGCACCATCCCGGACGAGGTCATTGTCCTCGGGAACCACAGGGATGCCTGGATCGCTGGGGGTGCAGGCGATCCAAATTCTGGCTCTGCTGCACTCAATGAGGTCATCCGATCCTTTGGTGAAGCACTCAAGGCGGGTTGGAAACCATTCCGTACCATCGTGTTCGCAAGCTGGGACGGGGAAGAGTACGGATTGGTTGGATCAACGGAATGGGTCGAAGAGTACCTGCCCTGGCTGTCCTCCAGCACGGTTGCGTACCTCAATGTCGACGTCGGAAGCCGTGGGAAACATTTTGATGCTGCAGCATCGCCGTTGCTCAACAAGCTGATTTACAATGTGACCGGCACCATACCTTCACCGAACCAAACCACGGAAGGACAGACGGTCGGCGACATTTGGGACGGCAGAATCCGGACAATGGGCTCCGGCAGTGACTTTACCGCATTTCAAGATTTCGCCGGCATCCCATCTCTCGATCTTGGCTTTGGCAACGGTCCAAAGGATGCGGTCTATCACTACCACTCCAACTACGACAGCTTCCACTGGATGGACAATTACGGCGACAAAGACTGGCACTACCATGTTGCGGTGACGAAGGTATGGGCGTTGCTTGCCGCTCAGTTGTCCGAATCCGCAGTTTTGCCTCTGAGCGCGAAGGACTATGCACGGGGCCTTGGTAATTACCTCGAAGACGTCAAGGAAAGGTCCAAGGAGCTGTCTTTCTCGTCGAGCTTCAGCTTCAGCTTCAAGCACTTGGACAAGGCCACGGCGAAATTACACAAAGCCGCCTCGCACTTTGATGCCTACACGACAGAATTAAAGGGCAGGCTGGGAGAAGATGTCCCGTGGTGGAAATGGTGGAAAAAGGTCAAGCTGTACTACGAGGTCCGGAAGGCGAATTCAAAGTACAAGATGCTGGAGCGACAGTTCCTCTTCCCGGGCGGCCTCGACAACAGGTCGTGGTTCAAGCACGTGGTGTTTGCCCCGGGGCGATGGACCGGGTACGCCGGCGCGACGTACCCCGGACTCGTGGAGAGCTTCGAGGACAACAACGTGACCAACGCGGAACGCTGGAGTGAGATCATCGTCGACAGGCTACACGCGGCGGCGAAATTGTTGGCATGATCGAATACTTGATAAGAAAATGGGAATTATGAGGTATATGAATTTTGGGTCTCAAACTCGAATAGAGAGCTCGACTACATTTTCTTGACAACTACGTGCTAAGACCTGAGAAAACAAATGTCTCCATGTCTCGTCGCTATCGTTTGCATCTTGTTATCTCGGTCTATTTCTATTGTTGCGGGCAGAAGGTGGCGCGGAACCATGAAAGATGCTGGTGATGTATGACAGTGACCTGCTGAATTAGGCTTATGACCTTGACGGCGAAGCGTGTCGTCGACAGCGTCACACGTCAAGCAAAAGGACGCTCAAGTACACAGCGTGACGTGTTAGGGTACTAGTACGACGACCAGCCATCTTATCAATCAATAGTAACTCGTGCCACCGGCACCCAACCCACTCCTGGTGGCTCCGAGATCACTGCTGTACCTGCGCGCCCCGACAGGAATCACCCCACCGGGCCCAAGACCGATGGGGCTGGCAACGCGGTGTAGACGCGGACCGTGGCGACCACCAGGCTCGAGATGCGTTTCCCGCGACGTCGTAGTGGACAGAAGCCTGGTGTCGGAAGCGGCATCGTCGTCGTCGTCCTCTACAAAAACATCCGAAAACGATCCGGTTATCGTAGACCTCCTTGACTGAGCAGCACTGGTCGGTGTGGCAGAAGCTCTCGCGACAGACCCATTCGCCGCCGATCGAATATTCGTGCCAAAGTCATCATCGCCATCGCCATCATTGACATCGTAACCATCAACATCTTCGTCGTCGTCGTCATCATCGTCATCGTCATCGTCCTGGGAACTGCTGAAACCTTCGAGCTCCACAAGCATCCAGATCGGCACCGAGCCTACCACGGCGACCAAGGCCAGCGTCCACCAGGGAACAACGACATATTCAATGTCGACGCCTATCGAGAACATGGCGCCCGAGAGTGCTGGACCCGCCGCCCTCCCGATGGCAGAGACGCTGGTGGCAACGCCATTCAGAGTGCCGAGGATCTTGAGACTCGCCGCACTGTTGGTAAGCAGGATTGTCGAGCATGGGAAAGCAAAAATGCCGGCGAATCCTTTGATCAGCATCAAGACCATCATTACCCCCTGTCTGGAAGAGTCACTCTGTAGAAGAGCAGTGAAAGGTACCGCCACATAGACCAACGGAAAGGTCAACGCACAAGCCTTGAGACAATTTAGGACGCCATACTTCCTTGCGAATGGGGGGAAAACGAAGAACTGAATGAGCATGCCGAAGACGCCGTAGACGGTGAAAAGTAAGCCGATTCTGTTTGAATCAATGCCAAATCCGCCGGAGAACTTGAGGGGCGAATGTCGCCACGTCTCCCGCCTCGATTGTACGGGAAAATGCATGAAGATGGGCAACAACTGGTCGAAAGCAACCGAATGCATGGCCAAGAGGGTGTAAACGACCAAGTTGATGTTGGATTGCCTCGAAAACACCTCCGACCACCCTGAATGTTGCTTGGTAGGCCGAGCATCGTGCTTGGCAACCGGGGAGGACATTTCGCTCGAGATGCCGGGGAGAAAAGGATCTGCCTCGTCGTCGGTTGACCACGCCCTTCGGTGCCGGTTGCGATCCCGAGAACATGGTTTGAGGAGACATTGGCCCAACACGAGTCCGTAGTCCTTGTGCGACTTTTTCTCTTCCAGAGTCTCGTGGAAGTACAAAAATCCAGCCGCGATGCCAAGTAGGAATAGCAGGCTAATGAGCAAATTTGGCAAAGCAAATGGATATTCCTTGAGGAACCTGATCTTCCCGAAGAGACGCGGATACCTCTCCGCAGGGTGGACCAGCGAACCACCAAAAGACGGACCGAATATGCTGCCAATGTTCCAGACCAACGGCATGATGCTGAATGCTCGAGGTTGCAACTCTTTCTGCGGAACCAGTTCTGCAACGGCAGTCCGTATTATGCCCACATTGCCGTTCGACAACCCTTGCAATGACCGTGCAACGAAAGCCCAAGCCAAATTCTTAGAGAAGCCGAACAAGATACTCGAGAGCATTGTGCACGTCAGGGCGAGGAGGATGATGGGTTTCCGACCGAAACGATCCGATGCCCTTCCCCAGGCGATGCCTGTCAAGCATTGAGAAAGGGAGAAGATGGCAGATATGAGGCCGGCCCACCTGGCGACGTCGTCGTCTGGAACGTGGAAGGACTGTATCATCTCAGGCTGGACATTGGTTAGCGACGACCGAGAAGCACACAGAGGTTCTTCAATACTCACGATGTAGGGATAGACAGAGGTCATTGCCACTGGTTCCGCGAACCGACATACCGCAAGGATGAGCAGCTGCTGCTTGGGCAGCTGCAATGACTTTCTCGCATCCTTGACCATGGCTCTAGGACTTTTCGCTGCTGAGCCATGAGTCGGACTGACTGCGCTTGAGAGCAAAGGTGAAGTGTCCAGCGGCGAGGCTATACGATAGGAGGTGTTACGAGTCGAAGTGCACTACGTAGTACATCTCTTCGACACCGCCATCACAAGGCGCAGTTTGGCCGGGTTCCACTGAATCTTTGTCAAGTGCAGTTGGAGTGGTTGGGGTTCGGAATACGGTACAGTGGGATTGTCGACCTAGTGACCATGGCTGCACCCTATGAGAAGCCGTGAGATTGTGATAAGTGGACGAGAGCGCGGCAAAGCGGCAGTGATGGTGAGAAGGCAATTGCGGGGTTGTCCGGTAAAGGCAGCCTCGCACGTGATGTGTACGGTCAAGCAGGTAGACACGGGGTACAAATATAGATGAAAATGAAGCGCCCAACTTTCTTATATTGATGCTCAATATCATAATATTCTGAGACATAGACTATAAAGCGACGATACGCACGACGACGTCTTGATCTAGTAGCCCCCACATATGTGAATATACCTCTTGGTTGAATTAGGCTCGACTTTAGGCAACATGCACTCTCGAATCAGACGCAGGATGCCATCTCGCTCCATCAACGTATTAACTCCCACGAACATGCGAGGAATGTTCAAGAATGGCATGATACCAGTCTGAAGAACCTGGACTGGAATTTGAATCCAATCACACCGCCAGCCACACAATCAATGAACCTATTCTCATTCGCTTCCCCCTCGTACTGGCACGATTTTGTCACTTTCCGGGTTAAGTCTCAATTAACCATGGGCGAGTAGTACTAGTATTCTGCTGCTTCGTTCTGGAACTCTGAAACTGCCCCGTTAGTTACGGTTTGTTCTCTCGGTTGCGCCAAGCCGTTGCTGCCTGCGCTTTTCTTGCATGTACTGACTTGCCAATGCGTTGCTGTGTTACACTTAAAGAGCAGCAGCGCCTGAAAGATCTATGCATTCTGCCAATAGAATTAACCCCTGGAGAACACGACCTCTTCGACCTCGAAAATAAAGCGCCGACGAAGCTCTCATAGCTCTACAAAGAGCAACAAGATCGACTCTAGGGACGACGGACAGGACCATGAGAACGACCTACCAATGTCTGGTGAATCCGAAGGAGTCTCCGACGTGTATGACGTTTCGTCAGACATCAAGCTTGGACTTGAGGAGTGTCTTCAGTGCCTAACTGTCATTGTGGGCGTTTGTCACCAGGCACCGTATGGAAAAGGTAGTGAAACTGTCGTGGATACCGCGGTGAGGCGAACCTGGGAACTGAGCACCTGCCAGTCCGAGCTGAGGAATCCGGAATGGACCAGGGTCCTTGGAGAAGTCGTTAAAGGGGTTGCAGCCGACCTCGACGTGCCTAGAGGGGAAGTCAGGATTAAAGCGATACCATGTAAGATGCTGCTTTCCGAAAAAAATCAATGTTTAGAAAGCATCAAGAGTGAGTTAACCCTACAATTATTATGGAACTAGGTTATATATGACTGACGAACCACACCGCTTAGCTCGGATAAAGAGTTAAGCATATTCAGAACTCTAGTTATCTATCTACTGTCAAAACATAAAGGTAATAAGATACATATCACACACAGAGGATAGACAAAGATTCTTCGCATAGGGAAGTCATCTAAGTTAAACTACATCTATCTTTGCTGGTTAGTTACCGTGCTCTTAAGCCCTGCCGCTCTTTACTGATAACTAGTTAGGTATGCAGATGGTAAACACGAAATCATGAAAGTGAATGTAGGCCACCGATCAGTTCTGACTTACAATCTCATCAATGTTAATCCCCGAAACCCGGCAAGAGTGGCTACAAAATTTGATAAGGAAAAAAAGTAGCTGAGAAATATTTTGACACTCTGGAAAAACGAATGCCGGAAAACCACCACTAACTGTCCTAAGCTACTGGCATGCGTCCTCTAACATTTATACACCCAGCAGACTCTATGTTTATCTGGGTTAAAGGGAGGTGGCAGCATGATGGGATAGTGCCTTTCCGAATTGTATCAAAATCACGGCTTCTCATTATACCTAGTAATGCTTGAACATGAAATGGAGGGCTAGTGCGAGTACGAGGACACCGACGAAACTGCCTGGGAAGAGATGTACTGGAGGGCCCGTTATAATGAACAGCCTGACTATCACAATATCACTGAGGTGCAGGATGAATGGTTAGAATTACGACAAGTCTTTCACTTCAACGGTAAGATACTGTTAGATAGAGTCCTGCTAGACTTGTTGCAAGTCATTCCAGAGATACCATTCGACGGTGCTCCTAGTAGAGAGCAGTTCTAAGGACCCACCGGGAATGAGGGCGTCAGTGCCACACATTTCCATCACCGATCAGTGAGTTTTTTCCCTATGTTTAAAAGCTGTCCTGTGTGAGAGGTGCTGAAAAGCAACAGGCAGTAGTTCTCGTTCCAGCGGAGTATGATATGGAATTTCACTTCGGCGCCCATAAAGAATCAGGAACGAGCATGAGTAACTAGCTGCACCGACTGATCCAATCTTGCCATGGTACAGATGGGGACACTTGTTCAGATATGAACCTGGTGAAGGCTTGTCAACTTATCTCTCAAGGCACAAGAGAATGGTGGAAAGCGGAAAGACTTCAAAGACCTGACCCTCCACAGACTAGCTTTTTCGATCTCCTACTAGGAAGATGATACGCAAGCCTTCTTTTGCACAATCGAAACATTTGTTGCGAAGCATTAAGGTCAGCCATGCGGCAGCTGCCACAGCCTGAGACGACCCAAGTAATTAATTCACCGCTTTGGGTTCCCGGAACTACAGCACGAGTAAGGTGACCCCTTAACTGACATTAACTTAAGGTGCTGATCTTCAAAGTCTCAACCATGCTATTCAGGAATTTGAGGAAAATGGATCAGAGGCTGCAGGCTCTGATCGGAATATACTCCGAGTACTGCAAGTTTGTCGATAAGTCCGAACCGGTCTTGAACGACATCTTAAAATGGGTGAAGGCCCAAGTGCAGGAGATGGATCTCGGCACTTTGACTTCCTGCTCGAGTACAATTGAGATTAATTTGAATCGCTTCCACTCCTGCAGTCTCTGATCCGAGCTATCAATCTCATAATCTCCAAAGTTGCACTTCGTACAATCCTCAAGCGAGGCCATTCTCCTGCTCGGATCAGGCCGCATGTTCGCTACAAAAATCCCCCGCCATTTGCTCCGTGCCTATGACTAATACGCCATTAACCAACCGCCAAGCGCGGATTAGTCATTCAGATGCACTTCACGCCTTTTCCACGATTAGCGACCAGCTATGGTGTTGATTCACCCTATCTTCAACATCATCTACAAAGGCGTCGAGTATCTCCTTACACTATCTGCTTAGGATGATCCACTCACCTCTAACACTTGCGGGACGGAATGCAATTGGCCGAAGGTTCATCTCGCTACGAACACTAAGCACTTCGGCACTCGGCGTACCAGGAGCATGGAGCGAGACACGATATGGACGGATTTCAACAGCTGGAGATCGCTTCCTACGGCAACACGCCAAAACTCCAGCCTTGTCCAATTCACGGGGTTTCGGCTGCTCCGTGCCAAGGATGCAGGATCAAGTTTCCGATCGGGACAGCGCTGGCACGTACAGTGAGGCAGATCACGAACATGCCGTCATCTCTACATTCGACCTTTTCTCGATCGGCATTGGCCCGTCATCTTCCCACACAGTCGGACCTATGCGCGCCGGAGCTATCTTTGTCGACGATCTCGTCGAGGCCGGTCTTCTGCACAAGGTCTACAGGATACGCGTGTCTCTCTATGGCAGCTTAGCTTTGACCGGTGAGGGACATATGACACCGTCCGCCTTACTCCTCGGTCTTGAAAGTGCCGATGTCGAAACGGTTGATACTTCGTATGTCCCCAAACGCTTTGAGGAGATAAAGTCTTCCAAAAAGCTGTTTCTAGGCCACGGCCTTCCGGGAAACAAGGGCAAAGAAGTCCCCTTCGACTATGAAAGAGACTTTGTGTGGAAGTGGGGGCAGAAGCTGCCCCTCCACAGCAATGGTATGCGTTTAACCGTGTATGATACCGAAGGGGACATCTTGGCGACAAACGATATGTTCAGCGTTGGCGGAGGATTTGTTGTTAACGGAGCGCTTTCAATTAGTCCCGCTTCTTCCCCAGACACGAACCACCATTCAGAGCTTGCTTTAGCCGAGACTGGAGATTCAGGTCACCACCCAGCTGATTTCGCGGAGAACATATACTACAAGGAGACTCACCGCGCAAACGCTGCCGGAGACCGGAGAACTGGTCCCGGGCTCAAAAGTCTTAATACCACCACTGAACAAACAGATAGTCTAGTCGAAGACACTGGCGGATCTTCTTCGGGCACCATGTCACCCGTGGTCAGTGGCATGGCAGATACAAATGTCATATCCGACCGGGTCACCAAGCCTCACCAGCCTCCTTACCCTTTCAGCGATGCTGCTAGCCTCTTATACCTATGCCATAAACACCAATTAACCATTGCTCAGCTTGTATTTGAGAATGAAAAGAGTTTTGGATACTCGGATGATGATGTCTACCAGAAATTGTTTCGGCTTTGGCATGTCATGGATAAAAGCATTCTCGAAGGTGTCCAAGCGCCGCGAGATTCAACTCTTCCAGGCTCACTGAAACTGCATCGGCGAGCGCCAGCACTCTATAGCCGCCTCACGAGAGGTCTATACCCTTCAAAGCAAGATAAAGTTGACGACCTGAAGAGCCTGGCACAGCCGTCATCAGAAACGTCCGAAACGCCATTGGTCAGCATACCAGACAAAGCAATAACTCAAGAGCAGGGCAGCTTCCGGCGGCGACAACCTCAGACCGTACACGGTTCTTTCGATCACCCAGTTGCCCCATCTCCTTCCCGTCGCACCACCTTGGCTGCTATGGACTACCTGACTGTCTACGCCATTGCTGTCAACGAGACAAATGCGGCCGGCGGTAGAATCGTAACGGCTCCGACCAATGGCGCGGCTGGCATCATCCCTGCTGTATTGAAGTATGTAATTGAGTTTGTTAGCGATGATCCGGAGCGTGATGTTGCGACCTTTCTGTTGACTGCTGCTGCGATTGGCATGCTTTACAAACGTGGTGCTACCATCTCCGCCGCTGAGGGAGGGTGCATGGCCGAAGTTGGTGTCGCTTGTTCGATGGCCGCCGGAGCGTTTGCGGCCTGCATGGGTGCTAGGCCGGAAACCATCGAACAGGCTGCTGAGATTGGCATTGAGCATAACCTTGGCCTGACCTGTGATCCTATTGGCGGTCTGGTCCAGGCTCCTTGCATAGAGCGAAATGCTCTGGGTGCGATCAAGGCGATTTCGAGCGCCAATCTTGCTCTTAGCGGCGACAGTGGCACGCAAAAGGTCAGACTTGATGACGCCATTCGCGCCATGCGTCTGACTGCCAAGGGGATGAGAGACGAATTCAAGGAAACTAGTCTCAGTGGTTTGGCAACGAGTGTTCCACTCAAGATTCCCGTCAGCGTTCCAGAATGCTGAATGGATCAAAGAGGTATGCCCCTATGCGCAGCGTGCTTGCACGTTGCCATCTTCTTCGGCGAAATGGGTATCATCTAGTTGATTATTGCATCTTGGTACATGTTATCACGTTTCGCCACAGCATCTTTGAGTCTGCTTAGCACCGCTTTGTGCACTGAATTCTGCAAGCTATCACCGACAGGCATACTCAAACAGGGCCGGAATCCCACTAGTATCACCCTCACCGCCTTCTTAGTATCCCGATGACTGTCCCGAATAGCACAATGAGCACTATTAGCGTCTACAAGAGCAAACCCTTGCATCAGATATCGGCCTTCGCGACACCAGCTTGAGAGCGAGAAGTGTTCAAGGCATTGCTTTCCACTAGCAATGGCCCGTCAAGCAATTCCAAGTTGCTCCAAGTGGACGCTCTTGTCATTCCTGGATTTCATGATCTCTTCCTCAGTCATTGTCGCTTCAATCTTCTCGGCGTTGGTTTGGGAAAGAGTGTAGTCACCAAACATCATAGAAATCTCCTCGAGTGACTTTTGGTTGGTCTACACAGGATCAGCATGATAGCAGCAGTCATGGTCATAACTCACCTCTGGGAACAGCAGGAATATGACGATGGCCATCACCGTGCTTGCGCAGACGAAGACCAGAAAATACTTCCATCTGATGTGGGCGAATGCCGTCGGTGCGGCGACAAGGATGATGATAGATCCAAGGAACAGTCCTGCAACCGAGACCGCCATGCCTTTTGCTCGCACTGGGGTTGGAAAGATCTCGGACGGGTAAACATATGATGTTGCGTCCAGAGTCGAAGCGAATCTAGAAATGTTAGTCATCCCGGGAAACTCGGTATGGAAATTTCTTACACAGCCACCTCCAGGAACAAGAAGAACACTGCAGCAACTGCCGATGAGTGTCCGGCTGTTTTCTGGTATCGTGCGACAGAGATGCACTCGCCAATGAGTGCGATGACGCAGCTGGTAAAGCCAAAAAGGAACAATGGCCTTCGGCCAAACTTGTCCAGTATAACTGTATTTATCATATTCCCAAAGACAACAACTGTAATCCACCCGCTCTGGATTAGGAGAGTGTCGGTTGTGCCAAACCCGAGACCTGCGTACAATGATGGACCATAGTTATTGATGACCTGGGTCCCCGCTGCTTGACACCCGAACAGCGTCAAGAATCCAAGCAGTGTACGTTTGCGCAGTGAGGATTCGAGGATCAGGTCTTTGAACGCAACCGATTTGTGCTTCTCCTGCAGAATCTGCGCATGTAGTTGGTGAAACTCATGGTCAACGGCCGCATTACCCTCAGACTCGTGGGATGCGGAGTGCGCTCGGTGGAACATTCTGCGCGCTTCGTCGATTCGATCTTTCAAGAGCACTGAAGACAGGCTTTGTTAGGAGTCACCCCAAAATTGAGTTCGGAGAACGTACACCATCGGGGAGACTCAGGCAACCACCATATGGTCAATGCCAGAATCAGTGGCGGAAGACATTGGATGGCAATGGGGATGCGCCATTGCGTGCCTGAAGCATTGACAAAGTAGAATCCAAAGCCGATCCAGCTGGCACTCGCATATCCAATGCCGATCATAATGCCTGTGGTCCCTACCACAAGACCTCGGATCTCAGCAGCCGCGATTTCTGCGAGGTAAACGGGCGTGAGAGTAATCAAAGCTCCTGAGAAAATGTCAACATGGCTTCTGGTATGAGTGCGTGCTTACTCACCAACACCCAATCCTGAAACAAGTCGCATCATGATGTACATGGCAATATCCACGCTCCCAGCTTGCAAGGCACCGCCCAGGATCGCAAACAAGGAGGCCACAAAGAGACCGATGCGTCTCCCATACTTGTCAGCAATGGAGATGCATGCCAGTGCACCGATGAGGCCCCCTGCTTGAAACACTCCATTAACGGCTCCCGTGAGCTGGTTGGCATTGGATCTCTTGTCGAGGTCGAAGTACTTGATGAAGGAGGGCTGGGCTAAGGTCGTTCCGATGATGCTTGATGCATAGGCATATGTCAAGCTGCCGAGAGTGACCAGAAAGACTCTCTACTGCGAAGTCAGCACGGCTTCCTTCATATGCTCTGAGATCGCTCCTTACGTATTGTGCTGCATGATGCTGACGGCTTCCGAGACGCTGCGTGGCCATTGTTCAGGAGATGAGCTGTCGCTGTCGGAATGATTCGAAGTCAATCGATCAAGAAGTGGACAAAGTTGGGCATCCGGCTCTCATATACAAGGATTGATCACGTCAGGCAATGAATCCCCGTGGGGTCGATCCTTTCCACCTTTCACAATGGCTGCTGAGGTAGTTCTATGGATCGGCGAATCTGGCTCAGCTAAATTCACCGAGCCTGCCACAACATGCCACAATTTTGGCCAGCAAACACCGACCGCCGAGCTGACTGTATTGTTTAGCGGTACTGTCTGGCGGCTCTGACACTTACCGATCGCGACCACGACCACGCAAGCGGCTGTTCTGCATCAAGGGCGAGTCTTCCGGGGGCAACTGCCTTGACGTACTAGTCATTAAACCTGGGAAGTGACAAGCATTATTAGGTGAAACAGATTGGGGAATAATTTTAGACGCTGAGTTTCCATTCCCGTATTTTATACGGTTCACTTCCAGCAATTACTCGAAGAGCGAGTGCAATCTATAGTCCACTGCAGGAAGTGGCATGTCGAGTTTTCTTTACGCCCCTATGCTAGCCACCGCTTTGATCAGTTGACCTCAGTGCCCCATGTTGTGACCAAAGCCGACTGCCACAGTCGCCCCGGCATCCACTGGTAGCACCACGCCTGTGATCCAGGATGCTTCGTCGCTGGCAAGAAATCTGATGGCACTCCCCACATGCCAACCTTTGGACAGATGTTAGATCATCCACACAGGGGAACAGATAGCAGATTCTCAAATGATTATATTACCTGTCCCTTCAGTACCCAAAAGACTTCGCTTCATTCTGCTCTCACGAATCTGTCTGCTCATCCCACCCTCGACTCCCCCCACCATCGGTGTGTACACGGCTCCTTTTGTGTAGCAGTTGTGGTTAGTATTACCCCGTCGAGGAGATCAGAGGTGAGGGACAGACCAACCTGGGCAAACACAATTCACTCGAATGCCGCTTGGCCCATGGTGAGTCGCCATGGCGCGGGTCATGTTCACTATTGCACCTTTTGTCGTAGGGTACAGAATATCAGGAGAGCCTCCACGGATGCCGTTGACGCTTGCAATGTTAATGATGCTGCCTATTGCGGCGCCCCTCACTCTTCCGTCGTCTCCTCCACGGATTAACATCGCGGGGACTGCGAACTTGGTCATCAAGATCATGCTCGCCACATTGACCCGCATTGCGGTATCCCATTGGGACATGTCAACCGTGACAGAATTTCCTTTGGAGCCGTGGATACCGACATTGTTCACTAGGATATCCAAACGACCAAAACGGTCGAGGGCGAGCTGAATGACCTCCTCACAATCCGATTCCCTCGTGACGTCCGCGACACTTGCAATTCCGGCTCCACGCAACTTCAAATGTTTGATCAATTGCACGGTCCGCAGCGCAGATTCTCCATCTTTGTCGACACAAATAACATTTGCACCGGCTTCCGCGAGCATGATCGCACCGGCGCGGCCATTTCCAATGGAATAGCCGGATGAGCCCGCCCCAGTCACAACAGCAACTTTCGAATCCAGTTGTCGTGTAGGTATACCTGCGAGAAACTCCTTTTCAAGGCCCGTAAGCGAAGGACCAGCATCGCGAGTATCGCCATTTGACCCTTCTGTGGGTTGTAACGTTTCCGGCGTCATGGCTATTGTACTCATGCTCGGAACATTGACTGTTGCTGGATTGTACCTCAAAGAAGTCTCGAAAACCCAACACCTGGACTAGAGTGATAACCGACAGAGTAGCCCATCGTTATGGTAACAATACCCTACTCGTTTCTGGACAGAAAACTGACTGTGTGAGTGACGCGGCGAAATTATCACCTCCGAATTTCGCCGACTGGCCACATATTTCCAAGTTTACGAGCCTGACTTTCGGTGTTGCTGGAATCGCCGTGGACAAGCTCTCAGCCAGAGTATTCAGACCCCATTAGTTAGCTTCTCAACGACGATTACTATCCCAATTGCCATTTTATTCCGGATCACCAGCGGAGATGGGTAGCACCACAACCCGTTGAAGTAAGTACATCTAAAGTACATCTGCTGTGAGTATTAATATAACTATTTAGTACAGGGAGGTCGATGCCTTTAGCCATATCTTGCACTTTCTGGAATGAACTCTGGTCAAAATTGCTATTCTGCATCGCATTATTGTTTATGTACAATCTCGTTCAAAAACTTCCACCTTGCGCGTTCCGACCAGCCCAGCAGTTTCCAGTCGTTTGCAGTGGCTGGAAACAATTCAACTACGTTTATCAACGACTTATCGTGGGAGATAATCGTGAAAACATTCGCTTTATCCAGAGCTCTGATCCTGTGCAGAGATTTGGTAGCTTCGATTGCATCTGTCGCCGCGCTTTTGCCATCGGAGTGATCAGAAATCTGGAGAATGGGGACATCTTCGCCCTGGGGGTGATGTTCCAAGTCCCAAGATAGTCCTGATGCTAAACTGGATGATTGCCCAGGTGCTGAGAGAACTGAAATATCGCACGGCAATGGCCATTGCATAGAAGGACGCATCTGTGCCATGTGATGACAGCAATCTCCTCCCATCAAGATGAATGTGTCGCCTTCGTGTTTGGGGCTTTGGTGGATTGTAGCTGTCGTCCGTGCCAATGCCGATAGATGACCAACGGCGTGTCCAGGGGTATTGAGCAGGTAGAATGATCCATCACCAAACAGATCATGAGCAGGGACGTCTCCGATTGTAAGCTCGAATTCCGCGACTTCGCCGAGCTCTCTCCCTGAGTAGTCAGAGCTGAGAAGGGGGAGTTTTAAGATTTCTTTCCGTAAGTGCGGTCCAACTAACAGCTTGGTGGAACGCGGAAACCTG